TACGGCACATATCGTACACCGAGAGATATTGTCGTCTGCTAAATAATTATTACATGAACATATTATTGCTTTCGAATTCGACATTACAACCCTCATTGCATGCAAATATTTATAGTTCATGGCTAGGATTGTTTGAGGGTTTTTTTTTCTTTCACACATACGTATATGTTGCCTCCCACGTGGCGCAGTGGTAGAGCGTCTAATCTAGAGTCGCGGTGTGAGGATTTGATCCCTTACAATGCGGGTTCGAATCCCACTGTAGGACTTGGAGACCGATCGTTCGGATGAGACTTTACAGATTTTAAACTCACGTCGTCCCGCGAACTCCGCACAAATAAAGGTCTCATACGTCCTAAAATATTTTACATGCAGTATAATAGCAAAAGAAGATGGGAATAGCCATGAACTGTATTTGATAGCCTTTGTCAAGGTAATACGCCCTTTCATAATTTTTGATAGAAACTCTTATTTTAGATATTAAGGAAAAAAATAAAATATTTACAACTAAATAAAATGATGATGCAACAATTAAATAAAATAATATACTCTTTCTCCCCACACACTTTTAAAATTTTCTCTCTCTCCCCCCACTCCCTCTCTCTGCCCAGTCCTTCTCTACACACACCATCTCTCTCCTCACGCCATCCCCCCCCCCTCTCTCTCTCAGCATCCTCTCCCTCTCTTCTCTCTGTTTCACCATTTCTCTCGCCATTCTCTCTCCCCAAATTCTCATCATACCCCACACTCACTCTCCTTTCTCTCTCCCCACTCTCTCTGTCTCCCCACTCTCTCTGTTTCTCTCTCTCTCTTTGTCTCTCTCTCACCCCACTTTGTTTGTTTCTCTCTCCCCCAACTTCTCTCCCCATAACTCTCTCTCTCTCTCCCTATGGCTTTCTCTTTATAATTGTTACTTGTGACATGACCTTCTCTCTTGCCACCAAATTTGACCTCTTGACCTTGGAGTTTCTCTTTTTATTCTATTTGTCTCTCTCTCCCCTTCCCTCTCTTTTGAACTCCCCCACTAAATCTCTCTCTCTCCACCAAGGACTCTCTCTCTCTCCACAGGAGACTCTCTCCATTTGGTTGCTTCTTCACTAATTCTTTCAAACCACTCTCAATGACTCTCTCCTACTCTCTCCCCTTTATGCTAATAATAGCTTTTTTGGATTCTCTCTCCCCACTCTCTCTCTCCCCATCCTCTCTCTTTACCTAATTTTACTCTTTCAACATTCTCCTCCCTCCCCCTCTCTCTCCCCACTCTCTCTCCTCTCTCTGCCTCCCCTCTCCCCGCAACCCTCTCATACCACTGAATGAAATTTGATGAAACTTTCACCTTTATTACATATTGCCATTCTCTCTCTCCTATTCTTACTTTTTCCTCACACTCACACTCTCTTTGGGTTTCCCGGCCACATGAAAACATGGACTTTTTCCCAGTCTCTCTTTCTTTATTTTTTCTAGTTTGTTTTGTTATTACACATTTACATGAAGTTGCGTTAAATAAACTATATGCATAAAACATAGATTTTTCAAAGTTTTTAAAAATAAAAATAATGGAATAAATACTTATTCTAGAATATATTGCAAAGTCTTATTCTTATTAAAAAGTAATTTATAAAATGTTCATTCTTGATCTTTTTACTTTAAATTGAATTTACCAGAGTTGTTTATTTTTGAAAAAAAAAATGGTTTCATTTAAAATCATAAGGGCGATAACTTCAAACAAGAGAAAATACTGCTTTCCAATTCACAATTCGATCATTGCGTTATACATGTACATTCATTTGAATGTTTGCGGTTTAAATTCTATATGCTTGGAGAACAATATATTTTCAAGGAAAATATGTAAGCTTGTGCCGTTGCGTTGAATGATAACCAGAATACACTTGCATAATGACTCCCTCGTTCTTCTACACTTTACCCGTTATTTCATATTTTCTTTTTGCAAATAAATTCTCGTTTGGTGTTTTATTCAAATCTTTACTTGTTGCATGGTTCTACTCCACTAACCATGGATTTTTGAATGGACAGTGTTAAATAATAAACCTTGAGCCATCAGTGTAATTTGAGTAAATGTTCACCTTATTACAAACCATGGTCATGCTTCTGGGTACATTAAAATTTTTCAATCAAGCAATATAGCCTAAAAAGACAGTAAAGCAAATTGTGGGCTTAAAAATTATTACAAAGTTGGCTCTGTCGCGCGTAGGCGCTCTCCTCAAGCCAAGGTACATCTATGTAACATTATAGAGATAAAGTTTGTAAATCGTAAAACATTTGAAAGCATTCCATTCTTAGTCTCGAGGAATAATCTAAGCCATGAAAAGGACTTGGTTGATGGGGAAGGAGGTAGCAAACATTAAAAATGAACTTTGCCATTATAATTATACGTGGGAGTCGGGGAGGGGTCATTTTGTAAACTCGTTGCTCACAGAACCCCTAGTTTTTCAATTATCTGTTTCATTTTTTAAGAATACTTTTTCGTTTTATTTTACTTATACTCATAATACTGTTTAGGCCACATTTGAAAGCACCCCCCCCCCCCCCCCCGCGCAATATAGACCCCCGGGCCTGCTAGACTTTTTTCACATAAATTATATATGGATGACACATTTGTGATATAATACATGTATATCCTATCCATTCAGAAAATTTGCTTAAATAAACATTTTATAAAAATTTCTACCCCACTCTCTATATATAAATTTTTATATACAATGTAGGGTAGATTTTATAGAACATTTGTTTTAGGTAATTCTTCGTTTGTTGGTATAAATACTTATCACAAATATGTTGTTTCATTTTTTAAGAAAAAAGCCCAGTTTTATTTTACTTATCCTCAAATACTGTGGTTTAGGCAGTAACTTTTTGTAAAAAAAAAATCAATTTACGTGAAAAACTTAACAAACAAAAAGAAAAAGGAAAGTTGTCCAAAATCGAAATTCCTATTACAAGGGATAGGGGGCTTCAACTTCTTTCAGTACCAAATTCTTCACTCAAACACTACATCACCCTTATATTACCCTTATTTGACAACACTGCAACCATAAGTGGAGGGGTCAACCGGACTTTCAAAAAAAAATTTCTAAAGTTGAATTAAACTTATGTCTGGAAAAAAATGGGGGGGGGGGTAGTCCCCCACCCCGATGCTACGTGCCTGTTAGATATTAAACTAGAGGTACTGTGAGCGATGAGCTCACTAAATGATACCCCCCGCCTCCCATATGTTTATAACTGGTGAAAAAGTCCATGTTTTCCTGTGGCCGGGAAACCCAAAATATGTGTCGGATCAAAAAGTAAAATAGGAGGTGCACAATGGCAATATGTAATAAAGATTCTGTGAAAGTTTCATCAAATTTCATTCAGTGGTATGAGAGGAGTTGCGGATAAAGATGGGTACCCCAAAGCGTAACAGACGGACGGACAGACGGACAGACGGACGGACGGACGGACGTACAAATTCGATTTATATACCCTCCCGCTTTTCAAGCGGGGGGTATAATAAGCGAATTATCTCAATGCAAAATCCTTGAAATTCCTTTGTGGTAATTCTCTTGAATTTTTATGATAAGAACGTGTAAAAACCAAACTCCGAACAACTGAATTTACTATATACCCACCCCTATACTTGAAATTATTCCTTGTATCCGCCCCTTTGTATAATTGTGATGTTAACAGTTCTATACTTACCTGAAATGTTATAAAATCTCTCGGTTGATCATGGTTGAATCCAAAACTACTTAGTTTCCACTGGTTGTAACAAACACGTGAACATCCCCTCTTCTCTTTCTTTGCCATGTCTAGCTGTTTTTGTTTGTTTGGTTGTTTGGTTATTGTTGGGTTTTTTTTAATTTGGTTTATACTGTAAGCTAAAGTTCCACATAAAACCCACTCCCCGAATCTGTTCTTATTTGTGGCCAACGGAGCGATGCCATGTGGGTTAATTCTTCCAATTTATTGACATACTTTTCATATACGTGTTACATGTCATCAATCAAGTGTAACATGAACTTTTAAAATTACATTTCTGTATCTTATTGTCGCATTAAAGTTTCCATGCACCCGTATTTGATGTTAGTGTCTCCGAGAAAAGTGAAACGATACCGGTATAATGCTTATTCAGGACAGATGATCGATACAAACAAACTTTTGTCAAAAAATTTGAAAATAACTACTTGAGTCATGTTTTATTTAGTAAAAAGAATGGGTTTCTCCGCGTAGTTTTTATTTTTTTTTTATTCAAATTTTCACGAAATTGGGATTTGAAGCGAGAAATATTTGTATAGATTAATAAGGATGGTTTCAGAGAGGCAGAACTTTGAACTTCTTAGAAGGTCTACACTTTCTTTATATTCTAGAAATTTATTATTTGCGTCATTTTCAATTAATTAAATTAGGCAAAACACATAATTGTACCAATCCAGGACAGGCACCTGGCGTAACTTTTTTTCTTTGACCTATAACATGTGTATATTACAAGGACCCATAAAGTTACATATTCATTTATTATCACACAGGTGCTTGAGAATGGGACCCCACACCCACCCCCCCCCCCCCCCGTGTTCCATATTAGCCCAAGGGTTCATTGCCATGCCTTTTTTTAAATAAAATATTTTCTATGACATTTTTGACGAAGTATTACAAATGAAAAATCCAAAATTTAAGCTAAAACTATTCTTACTTTCTGAAACATTTACTAAACTGGGACTGCTTTCAGAGAGTATGAAATTTTATACCATAAAAGTTTTATCTTAGATTTTGAGGTTTAAAACTTTGTAAATGCACTGTGTGTCATAGAAAAAAAAATATTTTTAAGGACGTTCGATCCTAAGATTTTGAGCGTAGTTTGGACAGGTCCTTAATTTTTTTTAAAATTCTGCATTTTAAAGTTCTAACATTACTTAACCACAGTAACCAGTGCCATTTTTCATTGTTTATATATCTGCAACAAGCGAACAAATTATTTTTGAGAGGGATAGTCGAACGAATTTCATTGGTTTGACTTATCTAAGACTTAACGCCCCATTTTGCAGAAAACTTTCCAGTTCCAGCTTTTTGCCGGCTCTCGGGAACAAATATGTGAAATTTATTTAGTGTTGTAAGTGTATGGAAAAAGAAGACAATACCTTGAAAATACCAGAGTTAAGGTAGTTTTATTAATTTCTAATATCCTCTGAAAACTGTCATTTGCTATGTAGCTCGAATTTTCTCTGATTTTATGCGCAGATTTTTCACTTGTTGCTAAAGTAATCTAAGTTATTATCTATTGAGTATTGCTTATTGATTTTTTCCGAAAATTTCCGAGTAATTCAAAACATTATGGCCAAGATAACAGTTTGACAACATGATATGATAATTAACTTTTAACAAAAACAGCAAAAATTTACAAACAGCACTTACAGGTCCACAGTATCATTTAGAAGACCTATCAGGGGCTTGTAAAATATGGAGAAGGAGTCTTATCAGCTTCGTAACATGAGTGAGATTGAATTTTAGGGTGTTTAAGTAAGCAGCATGTCTATTTCCCCTTATCATTACTCTTTTTCTACTCCAATAATAATGAGAGTGATAATTAATAAATTAAAAAGAATATTTGTTTTAAATTGACAATTAATGTGGTGATCATCGCTCTGGTCCCATCCAGGAATTTCCTTTTTAAAATTGAGATGTGACTGTTTGTGAAATAAAACATACAGTGAGCAGGTGTTTAAAATTGATTTTTTTTAAAAGCCTGCCCAACAACCTTTGCAACTTGTAACACGAGGGTTAAAAAAAATGTTTAATGGTTTGAACATTGAAAGCCTAGTACATTAGCATGATTATGTATATCATATCAACAACACACATGTAAGTTATCATCACATGTCATGACCTGATCTAAAAATAAAAATCCCCAATTTTTTAAAAAATAAAAAGAACTTATACATGTATGTGTATAGAGAGAATACTAGAAAATCACTACAAAAACAGATGATTCATGCATTATCAAGACATGTAGAACAAAGCATGGGCAACATATATCATGGGTGTAGAGTTGAATTTAACTCAATAATGATGAATAAATGTTAACATTATGATGCAGCAGTTCTAGACTAGTAAGGCGTAACAAAAAAATATGTTTGTTTACGGTTACCCGACCGACCCTAATTTTAATCACCGACCCAAATTTTTTTTTCGTCATAAAAATCCGGATGTTACTGGCAGGTCAGTTTAACTTTTACATTCATCTTTGAAATCGAAATTGAAATTACAGAAACAAAACCAGCGAGTTCAATATCTACACCAACAAGTTCGTTGCAATTTGCTTACCATTGTGTGGCAGATGCAGGGGTGTGCAACTAGCATCGCCTGATGCCTGGTGCTACCGTTTAGGGGTAGTAAAAAATTAAAAGTATGCACATAATACATGAGAAATACAAACGGTATTTTCACTCATTGTTTTGCTATTTAATTTCCAACTAATGAAAATTTTCCAGGCATCATGCTCCAACTGTTCTTAAATTACTTTAACCTTATTCATTTTGAAGTACTACCTGACTTATTTACTTAGAAAAAACGATCGTTTTTTCCTAATCCGAATTTCCTCCATTCCTGGTTAATGGTAAATATATGCAGATATCTCTCCACATTATTTACGGTCTCCCAATCAACTAATAACTAAGTGTTATGTGGTTAAACTTTAATATATAGTAATATATGAGCCGTTCCAAGCAAAAACCCCCCTTATGTCAAAAATTTTCGAAAATGACTTTTTTCTTGAAAAATGATGTAGAACCTTAGGTGAATATAACCTGTAAATATTATGGGTGTATCTTGCTCCGTTACGGATTTACAGGTATTCAAAGTATGCAACATTTATGCAGCTGACGTCGTATTTATAAAATTTTCTCTTGTAGCGTCGTCGACGTTATAGCGACGTAATAAAAACATGAATTACTTACACGCAATAACTGACTTATATATGTGCTTAATTTGTTGTAAAATATATTTTTTATTAAAAAGTTCAGTTTATTCTTTTCTGATATTTATCAAAAATATGTCAATGGAGTTCAAATAGTCCTATGATTCGCTGACTTAGAGAAAACATCACAAATAATTGATAGGTCTTTTATAAAGAAAATTTCACTTTTAATTTTACCGCTTAAATTCAGCCCAAATCTTTCAAAACCAGCAACAACAAAATATATTTTAGTTCCCATTTATTTATATTTTTGATAATTGAATTACTTGTCCAACCTTTGCCTCCTTCAAAACACCGACCAAGAGACAGTATTAAGGGGCAGGGGCTTGCGCTTTTATAAATGAACACGCCGTAAGGATTTTGTAAAGTATGGTATTTCAAAGTAAATAATGAGTACCATTTATCCTTTTTTTCTAAATGCTGAACTACATACATGTATGCATTTTCTTTGCTTAATTATGCCCTCATTTGTTAAAATATATTAGAAGGAAAGGGGGAGGGGGCATTAAAAGAATAAATATAAAAGTACTAGTATAAAGGCAATTAGACTAGATATATACATGTTAAATCTGTAATTTATGAATAATTAAAGTGCGTACTTTCAGATATCAAATTATGAAATGAATGATAAAAACATGACCTGAAAAACTTAGAAAAAGGGTAAGGCATGTGATTAAGCTTTTTTTTTAATGTATATTTTCTACGTACAGTACAATCACGTACATGTAGTCTAATGTAATTGATATATAGAAGATTGCCAAGCAAAATTATGAGAGTTGATCCTCTTGTGCTTTACGCATAGATCAATGAAAGTGAAAGTTAGACTTAGAATTTCTCAATACTTAAGTCAGTTATGCGACCCGATCTGTAGTTAAAAAAAACACACATGTTGCAGTTAAAAAAAAACCCCAAAACAACAGGTTATTATGAGGCAAGTTTCACAGATCAACACATATATATCACGAAGATCCTCTGAAAATGTACTAGTTAGTCAAAAGCAAAAAAAAAATATTTTAGAGACAAAGAAAAATGTGTAAGTCAGGGGCTATTTTGAGCAGCTTTTAAAGTCCTCGAACCATACAGACACAAATGTACAACATTTGATTACCGTCTTCGCATTAAAAAATATCATTAAAAAGAGAACACGTTTCACGTGCGAAATCTTCACATTGGACTGTCTTTCGAATAAAATGCTTCTCATATATTAGTAATATATGTTCTATCCCAGTCTACCCAACATTTTACACTTATACAAAGAAGTTCCATTGTGTGCAGAAGATGGAGGAATGCTGGCCATTCTCTGTCACTACATTAACATCAAATATTCGAACATCTGACCATCCTGACCAATTTACAAGGAGTCCACGTGTTCTGAAAATGGGGGGGGGGGTTAAGTAGGCTACTTTTGTGTCTTATTCTTCTAATTAAATTTACATGGAGACCGGTCCTTTGGATGAGTCTGTATAAACCGCGGTCCCGTGTCGCAGTAAGTGCTGGCACGAAAAATATCCCTCGCCGCTCAAAGGCCCTAAGTGCAGGTTATAGGAATATTTGCCGCTCTCCACCGGCAAGTGGTGGCGTCTCCTTTATGAGTTAAAAAATTCTCAAGACGGAAGTTTAACAACATAGAAACACTCAATCTATTTAAATTTAAACATTGAGAAAGGGTTATCACCTTTAAGTTTCACTGCTAAGGATAAAAGAGGACAAGTATTTTTAGAAACTTTTTTTATACAAGATATTTCTGAAGTTATCTAGAAACCTTTTTTTTATACAAGATATATCCGACTTTTGAGTTTGTACATGCATACTTCCTCGCTAGTGAGCTAGCTTTTCTGTTGATGCGGTCGAGTCTCTTTCTTAGTCTCTATTTCAGGCAAGTTAAGCAACGGCGAGCCTGTTTAACCCTTCGACGGGTGACCACTCAAAAAAAAAGGGGGGGGGGGAGCCATGGAAAGTAATGAGATAAAAGTTCTATATCACCGCTAAAAGACATGCAAAAATTTAGGAGCTCTTCAGAGAAACATAATTATGAATACTTTGCGGTGTCAACATCATTCATTTAATGATTTCTTTGTATCTTTCATTAATCACTTTAAACCAGACTCTGTATCATTTATTATTACAAACGTTGTTTAAGGATAATGATTTGAATAGCAAATTAAAAATTGCATTTTTATACAACGCTTTATTGACAAAATAAACTTAACTATTATTTCTCTTTTTTCACATTTGCATCTACAATGCCAAAGAGTTGTCTTGGTCAAGGTCTACTAAAATGATAACGGTTGAATATTTTCCCATGCATGCACATACGTTTTAAAAAAAAACATGTCAGAACATTTTTCAAATCATTCGACAAAAGTGTTTTAATTATAATAAATACTTCTAGTTCTCTAATTTTCTAAGATCTAGCGTTGTGTGGAGAAAAATCGGGTTATGTTCACCTTCACGAGATCTTCCTGGTGAAAATTACGAACATGCATTTATTTCTTGCTACATTAGATTAAGAAGTAGATCGGGAAAATCCAAACTGATTAAAGTATTTTGGAAATGTATTTTATTTGCACTGGATTTACACTCAGGTGAACAAATATTGTGATTACAATCATGCACATAAAAAACAGATCGGGGGGGGGGGGGGGGGGGGTGCATTTTTTTTCTGAATGTGAAATAAATAATGTACGTGTGCTTGTCAAATACGGTACATTTCAGAACTTCCAAAATTGTGTAAAAAGATATACATGCATGTATGTATTTTATTTCTATATATGCTTTATTACACGTATTCTTACATTTTTTTGTGGTGGTGGTGATGGGATGGGGGGGGGGAAGCTACAAAAGTATTAACAAGTTATCGATCTTTTCCACACATTACAAAAAAAGAATGTCGGATGTACGTCTGTTCAATTAATGTAGCTTTGTTAGCTGAACTAGTGTCACTTTTCTTCCAAGAGGTTCTGGGTCTACAATAAATGAAAAAAATACCCCGGATTTAGATCTGGCATTGGTGTGGGTTAACAATTCTGTCATTCAGTTTGATCAGTTTTAATTTCTGTACAGTTTTCTTGACAAATGATTAAGCCAAATCAATTTTCGCCACGACTTCGGATTAAAAAACATTTCAAACTACTCTTCCTTCCTTTTTAAAAATATTTTTTACACTCAATATCATCATTGCATGTAATTTTTTGTCGTTGTTGAATAAGAAAGAGTCGTAAATCTGAATTTTAAGCAACAGTTGCATGTTTAATTTAGTTTAACTGAAAACTTATATTGTACATGGAACAGAATAAACGTCGACGTGTTGACAAATTTTGTGTATTTAATCAGAACACTCTTAGGTCGTTTTAATGTGTAATGCATATGTAGTTTGACAACAATCAGAGTCAGATATGTTATAAAATAGACAATACACATGGTACCATGAAAGAAAATATACAGTTAGTACAACGGAGAAAATTCTGTGACATAAAACAAAGCATGTAGTTGGGACGCAGTCAGTGCGCGATATATTTTGATCAGAGTTTTTGTTGCAAAACAATGACGTCGCTTTTTCTATTGTGACGTAAAATTCTGTCAGATTACATAAGGGGGGTTTTTGCTTGGAACGGCTCATATATCAATTGTATTTAATGGTTTAAAATGAAAATAAAATGATTTTGCTTCATTTTAGATATTAAGTACACTAGTACAATATGTTCAGAAAAGAAAAGATAATATAATTTCTTAAACTTTTTAAACTTCAACTTTAAAAGGGATTGCTTAAGACTTTCTCGACAATGAACTTTTTACAATATTTGTTTTTACAATTTTTTGCCCCTGTATTTGGACTGCTCACTTTTAACTTTGGGCAAGTAACTTTATTGCTGTTACAAGCCTGTGGGCTAGTACTTGATTTTTTTTAATTGCACACCCGGCCCTGAGTTGTAAGGCAGTTGGCAAGAAACCACCCATATTACAGCCAAACAAAAGTAAGGCACCATACAATGGTAAAACTATTTTGTAATTCAACTAATTCATGTGAATTTGTGTATAAAAAAATTCAATAAAATAAAAAAAATTCCTACCTACCGACCCTATTTTATTTCAGCATGTAACAGTAAACAAAGATATTTTTTTGTTTGGCCTAAAATAAAGCACTACTAATTAGTTGCATTACCTGTATCATATGTATTATAATATGTAATCTATGATTTCAGAGGGTTTTTTTTTTATATTAACCCTTTATTAAAACTTGGTTTCTGTTATACTGGTACATTTTTATTTTATATACATGTATATACATGTATACTGTAAATGCAAGTATATGTACATTAATCATGTACACAGGAAAAAACATGCAGAAATCTTTTTGTGGACAGGAAGTTTGTTTGTTTTATTTTTGGGGGGTTTTTTTTGTTTGTGTTCTTTTTTTTTAAATCTGTTGTTGGATATGCCCTAAACATAAAAAAACGTAAAATTAATTTAATTATCAAGAAGTTTGTCATAATTTTTAGTTATGTAAAGTCTACATGGTCTACATTTTTTTTTATCAATATTTGTATTCTGTATGTTATATTTGTCTTTAAAAAAATTCAAGAGCCTTTACCATGTGTTTACACATATTACAGCTGTTTCATTTCTTTTATCTCTCATTATAAATGTTTGTTACAGGCAATGGACCAAGCACAGCTGGATAATATAGCAGAGAAACTGGACATTAAATACAGCGTACTGGACAATCTGAAAGATGGAAAATCAACGTACAGATCTCAAATTGTCCTCACCAACAATTCAGATTTTCCGTTGGAGTATAAACACCATTGGAAAATCTACTTCTGCCATATCCGTATGGTGGAACCAGGAACGCTGCCGAAGCACAATGAAGCCGAGAAAAAGAAGGAAGGGGTCAAGTTCTCCCACGTCAATGGGTGTCTATTTGCTTTGGAACCTTTGAAGACTTTCAGGACATTAGAGAAAGGCGAAAGTATGACAATCAAGTTTAAATGTCAGTATTATTGTGTAGCTAGAACAGATTTATTACCAAACTGGTATATTGTTTCTGGGAATTTAGAACCTCGAATCCTCAAATGTACAAGTATGCCCGACTTAGGCTTTGTTGAGCCTTTTGATAAACCCGAAAAGTGGAAAAGATTTAATTATAAGCAGGAAAATGGAGTGATGAGAACAGACAGGTATGATCCTTATACCCCAGGGAAGAGATTCCAGAGGAATACAGTGGAGGACATGGGGAAGCCAGGTACCCCCGTACTGCCCTCCCCAGCAAAGGCTTCTTATGACTGGGAAAAAACCGCCAATTTCTCCATGGATAATCTGACCATTTACTGTGATACAAAATTAGAGAATGAAGCTCTATTTCTTAAAGGTAGGTAACTATATATTCAGACTGTTTCAATTTTGTTTTTGTTTTTTCCCCGATTGATTGTTTCTTATTGAAAAGCGTGAAATATCTCGTTGCAGAAAAACTAAGGATAGAATGCAAAGTCTCAAATGATGAAAATTCCTTACCATCATCTAATGTTATAATGCTGAAACTTCAAGATACAAAAGATGACCCAGCTTCCTCCTACAAACTTTCAGTTAATCCTGCCCTCTCATTTGTTAAAATTGAGGCCAATGACCCAGTTGGGGCATTTTACGGTATACAATCATTCCTTTCCATATTGGAAAACGAGAGAGTGCCAGAAGTGGAAATTGAAGACCATCCAAGGTTTACATACAGGGGCATGCATCTGGATGTTTCTAGGAACTTCCATGGAAAACATCAAGTTATGAAACTTCTAGATGTCATGGCCAAATACAAGATGAACAAATTCCACTTCCATCTGACAGACGACGAAGGGTGGCGACTGGAAATTCCAGGACTGGAAGAACTTACAGATGTTTGTATATATTGGTTATTTTTAGAAATTGTTTGAATTGTGTACTGTACACACATTGTATTGTTTATATTTAATATGTCATGCCCACATCATTGTTTGAAATACAGGCCAACAGAGGTAAATAGAATGTTTACCAAAATATTCAATACCAATTCCTAAGTTGTATGAAATATTCTCTGAAAACATATTGATTTAAAGGGGATCAGAAATATAGGCAAATATATATGCATGTAGTATGTACAGTAAAACTCGGTTATAAAGAATCCTATTTATTAGAAAATTTCAGATATAAGGACCTTTTTATAAATTCCTTTACAGACTTTCCACAAGATTCCTTATATATATTAACAAAATATTCATTGTAGAATTTGTTCAATCCATTTTGATTCAACTTGTTTATTCAATTCAAGCTTTTCCAATTGAATAAATGTACATATGCATGAGTTCATTTCAGATTGGAAGCAAAAGAGGTCATGACCTTACCGAGAGGACCTGTATATTGCCTATGCTAGGTTCAGGGCCTCACTTGACCTCTTCAGGGACCGGCTTCTACTCAGTAGAGGACTACCAAGAAATCCTACAGTTTGCCAGACGTAGGCATATCGAAGTAATCCCAGAAATTGACATGCCTGGTCATAGTCATGCAGCCATTATGGCAATGAAAGCCCGTTACTACAAATATAAGAAGATGGGTGATATAAAAATGGCCGAGGAGTTCCTGCTGTGTAGTGTTGATGAGACTTTACATGCTCAGTCTGTGCAGATGTTTTCGGAGAATTCAGTGGATCCTGGATTAGAGTCTACATACAGGTTTGTGGATAAAGTGGTAGCAGAGGTGCAGAAGATACATGAGCCAGTTGCACCTCTCCAGACATTTCACTTTGGAGGTGATGAGGTTCCATATGAAACTTGGGAAGATTCAGAAGCATGTAAAGCATTGATCAAAAGTAGAAAAGTCAAAGGCTTCTCCAAACTAATGGAATATTTTGTAAAGCGTGTGGCTAAAATTGTGGCTAAGCATGACTTGATGATGGGTGCGTGGCAGGATGGGGTAATCCATGATGAAGTGTCCCTTGAGCCCGTGGACAGGTCGGAATTTCCCAACAAAGAAGTCCATGTGTACACCTGGCAGAATGTGTGGGAGTCCGGTCTATCCGGCTGTGCCTACAGATTAGCTAACAATGGCTACAAGGTGAGATTGATTTATTGTATAGTTTTATTATCAGCATATCGGGTTTTTACCTTAATAAACAAAAAATGGTAGGCTTTTCTGATCCCAAACAGCCTGCAAATATACAAGTAACACCACACCCAATTGATTGATTGTATGATGTTTATAATATCCCTCTCAAGAATTGTTCACTCGTATGGGGACTCCACCACTTGCCGGTGGAGAGCTGCAAATAATGTCCTATACTCAACATACGACCAATGAGCAGTGAGGGGTCTTTTTCATGCCAGCACCTACTGCTACACGAGACCTCGTTTTATACAGTCTCATCCAAAGGACCGGTCTCCACGTCAGGCCAACAGACCTGCAACATAAGGATCAACTCCTCACTTTGCAACTCTAGAGCACATGATCTAACCACTGCACCATTGAAACAATTTGAACCAATAGGCCAGAAAATGAGAAACTAATGTGAAAGCTTTCTGAGGTAATGTAGAGTCTGCACTATGTCTGAAAGCTTTCACATAAGTCTCATCTCCTCTGGTGCATTGGTTCTTCAAAAAAGGTTTTATTAAACTTTTTGCCTACACATTCTTCAGTGTACAACTTTGTTTATATATTTTGTGGCCCCACCCAACAGCCTATCCCTTGTGAGGAGGGGGGCTTGATCTGAACAATTGAGAATCTAGATTACTCAAGAAGTATTCACAGAAGTTTCATCTTGAGTTCTTAGTAATATTTTTTTTAATGACCCCCCTCTTTATATTTAGGTTGTTATGGCTCAGGGCACCCACCTTTATTTTGACCACCCCTACGAACCAGACCCAGAGGAACGTGGACTGTACTGGGCGTGCCGCTTCTGTGATACCAGGAAAACATTTGGCTTCATGCCAGATAACATCTACGCCAATGCAGACGTCAAGCTGACCGGTGACCCCATTACTATGGAAACTTTATTGACAAAGCACCCAGAAGACCATGATCCACTAGAGGAGCATGAAAATATTCTAGGTACTGTACACAACTATTTATATAGTCATGTCATATCAAACTATCAAGTTTACATTCATTCTGGACATTAATCATGCATTAATTCTTACAAAATTTAATTATTATCAATTTCCTAAATATGCGAGTGGAATTAATTATTGCATAATTTCACAAGAAGCACCACTTAAGAAATAAAATTACTTGCTTTTATTTTTATTTGCTAAAAAAAATGTAAAGTCTCTTGATGAACCATCCATTCGCTAATTATTATTCTCGTGATTTGACGTTGAAGAGGCCTTTCGCAATAATAAGTACTCTCAAAAAATAAGGAATCTACAGTAGATTTAGGAAAACAATGCCCAGTAAGAAATCCAGAAGAATTAGCCCTTTACATTGTTAGTTTGAAAACAGTTATGCAAAATACACCAGGTCACAGGGATATATTTGGAATATGACTGTGTATTTTTTTTTAAGGTCAATATCTTAAACAAAGTTTTTTAAAAATCCCTCCATCTTTAAGAAATCAAACTCGAATGTAAAACAAATGTTCAAAGTGAATATATTTGAACAGGAATGCAGGGACATTTGTGGACGGAATTAGTGAGAACCTCAGATGAGATGGATGCCATGATTTTCCCTCGTCTGCTGGCCGTCGCTGAACGGTCATGGCACAAGGCATCATGGGAAGACGTGGAGGACAGCACTTCAAGGGGAGCCAGGATGAACAAGGACTGGGCAGTTTTTGCTAACAGTTTGGGCTACAGGGAACTGAAGGTGCTGGACAGGCTGGGTGTGGCTTATCACCTCACTCCTCCAGGGGCAAGGTAAATGTAGAATTTAAATGTAAAATACAGTGAAACCTGTCTAATCTGACCAACACTGGGAGATAAATTTTGTATTGAAAAAGACAGGTTGCCGGATTGCACAGTGTTTTAAATAAACAACAACAAATAGGGAAATGGTAAAATGGGAAAGAAATTTAACGTCGGAATTCACATTGTGATGAATTATATAGGTGTCAGATTAGACAGTTTCACTGTATTAACACCCACTGAATATTATCTTTATTTCTTCAGATATAAGCATTTCCACATGTAGTAGTCAGTACACACTGCATGCTAAGCATATCACTTTTACATTTCTTGACCAGTGACTCTTCAATCATTTAAATGTAAAATGATGTTCATATCAAAAATCCTGATAATACAATATTTAATCTCCTTTAGGCCTATTCTACTATAACTGATTATTTGTACAGATTTAAATATTATTATAAGTGTTGTTTGTCTGTTAATAAGAAAGCATTTTTAATTATCATTTAAATACTGAATATGGGACAAAATTATACTTAATTGATTTGCGAAGAATTTTGAGGAACTTCATCTTGTATTTGACAAAAATGAACAAATGAATCTATGGATGCTAAATTAAGTTTACAGTTACTGTTATATATGTATTTGTGTATTTGTTGTTAAGGTTGGGAAAAGTGATGTACCATATAGCAGGTATTTTTAGTGGGATGCTAACTTTGGCTTATTTTAGCGGTTTGGTAGTAAGCTGTTAAAATTTTAATCACCAAATTTGTACTCTTTAATGTCACTAAAACAAAAAAAATCACTTAAATAACTTTGATTAGTCTGTTGTATAAGTAATAACTTTCATATTGTATTGTATTTCCTCAAACTTTTGTGTAAATTAATATTTGAAAACATAATGACATATATATTTAAGGTACTGAAACTCATCATACAGATGAATTTCTTCTCCTTAACATTGTCATAGAACACTGTGTCCACCAAAAAAAGTTCTGCCAAAAATACTGGCATACATTTCAGCAAGCAAACTGCCAAGTTTTACACCTACTAATGAAACCTGCTATATGTTTTTTCCCCTAACAACAAACTTCTCAAGATTGTAAAATTTTGTTTTACTTGTAGGATAGTAAATGGGGAGCTGGAAATGAATGCAGTGTATCCAGGACTTCCTCTTTTCTATAGTCTGAATGATGGGAAAACATGGCTTCTATATGAAAAGAAAGTGAAAGTAGATTCAAAATCAGAAATTAAACTAATGTCCAAGTAAGTTTTCCTAAATTGATATGTTGATTTTTTTCTCCCTCTCTCTTAATGGGGAAAGAAAGGGGGGAATTCTAAATTATTCAATACACGTAAGAAACTTGAATTAATTGCCATTGATTTCTTTGCCTAGATGGAGAACTTCAAAATTGTTGTTTAAAGTATATGTCATAACATTTAATTCATAAAGATTTTCTGTGAAGGTGTTATGATTAAGTCTTATTAATTACACCATTTTGAATTAAAATACACAAGCTTTAGAAGTCAGTTTTAAAGAAAGGTGTCTAATAGATGTTATAATAACATTTTTTGAACAAGCCTTCTTTTACAATTTATTAAACACTACCTGTTGAATGTATGTTTTTATGATTCAGGTCAGCTGATGGAAAGAGGGAAAGCAGGATTGTGATATTAGACCCTACTGTAGCCGAAACTTAGAAGAATGGACAGGTTTACTATGTTTACAAAGCTTCTCAGGATTAAAACATAATCAACCCCTTAAATATTGAACTCAGTATAATACATGTATGTGTACTGTTGAACATGTGCTCTCAGTTGGGAGAGGATTTATATTGTTTTCACATTTTATTAATTTATATATCAGTTTATTGGTTTTTTTTTTACTTTTTTCTTTGATATTTACATGTACATTAATTTCTCCTTGTGCAATTTTTTTTGCAACTGAACAAAGTAATAGCATTTTTTTTTTCGCCAAAGAACACTTCCTGGGTATTTTATTATGTGCAAAATGTCCTCTTTTTTTTCAAATATTTAAAAATAAAAATTGTTTATGTATTGATTTTCCATTCTATCTGTACAATGTGTATTGGTGCCGTTTGGTTAATGTGAAAACTTGTTGAAAAACGTATAGCCTAAAAGATAACAAGTACAACCGATAGGATAACATGTATTGTCTAAAGGATAACATGTACAACCTATATGATAACGTGCGTTGCCTATAGGATAACATGCATTGCCTATACCATAACATATAGTCATATAAAGACTTTACGATAACATGTGTGTTGCCTAAAGTATGAAATGTATTAACTATAGGATAATGTATAAAACTTATAGGATAACATGTATAACCTATAGGATAATATGTAATGCCTATAGGATAACATGTATTTAGGATTACATACATGTATGTGAGCTATAGGATAAAATTTATAGCCTACAGGATAACCTAAAGTCTATAGGATAATGTTAATAAGCTATAGGGTAATATGTATGGCCTATAATACCACATGTGTAACCTATGGGATAACATCTGCATAGCCTATAGGATAACATGTGTATGGCCTTAAGTCTACCTGATTGATAGGATAGGATAGTGATAGGATAACATATGTGATGTAAAGCCTATATACCTGTAGGATAACATGTAAAGCTAATGGGAAAGCATGTTAAGCCTAAAGGATAGCAGAGTTCCAGAACAACTTACAAACATACTTGTACTTGATTGATTGATTGTATGCTGTTTAACGTCCCTCTCCAGAATAATTGTACTTGAAAGAACTTCACTGATGTTTATTCCTCTATCTTTGTGTATACATGTATTGTGATATGCTAGCTTAGGTGTTTATCTTTTCATTTACAAACTTTTCTTGATTTGTAACTTTCACACATTTTAGATGGGAAATTTTTTGAAAGGACAATTTTTTCTCTTGAAAACCAGAAAGTTCTTTGTAGAATAAAAAAGCAATGGCATATTCTTTAATGTTGAACAAAGAATTTCTAAAAGTTGCTTGGAAGGAAAATGTTTTAACTCATTTCTTTACTTAACCAGAATGGCCAAACCTTTTAAATTGTGCAAAAAATAAATAATTTTCATCAAGCTTTGCCATTTTTTTTTTCTCAAGCAGATAAAGAAATTGATTATATATCTGTCAAGTATCGTGTAATATCTTGAAATATTAAGACCCAGTTTACTGATACATGATTTTGTCAAATACTCATCCTGCGATCTACAGCTGTGCTAAATTTTAATGCCTTTAAGAAAATGTACACATACAGTGTATCTAAAGGGAGCCTTTGAGCTTTTGCAATGAAAGAACAGGGGCGCTTTTGATTGGCATTCGGCAAGAATCTGGGCATACTTGAAAAGTGAAAATTTCTCATGAAATTTTAACATTTTTTGTTTCATTTATTGGGTTCCTGTGAAATGGGAAAGAAAGATATTTCCCTGAAAGTGAGTTTTGATTTGCTTAAAAATAACTTGAAAATTGGCTAGATCAGACATTTGGTGTAAAATGGTACATTTTTAAACATGTTTTTCTAAAAATTTTCTATCTCTGGGTCTTCTCTCCATGATTTTGAAACGTTATTTGTGTGCATTTTAACTTTGTCCTTTATAAATTGTCAGTTATGTGTAGCAGTGATAGCTCTAGCTGAAATAATGTGGCCCGACCTCTCCCTTTTGTGTTTGTGTAGGGGAAGGGGGGGGGCTACAACTCCTTAGGATCTCGGTAATGGTGCAGCTGGGGGAGTTATTCGCTCCCGCACGGATTTCGGCTCAAATTGTCAGTAAATGGCTATTTTATGTACATTTCTTACGTGGACTCCAAAAATGTACGAGGGGTGATCAAAAAGTTTGGGAACTATTTCTATATTTACAAAACCACAATTCAGATTAGAAAAAAATTGGTACACACATACCCCCGGTAGCCATACACAAGTTCTATAAATAGCATATGCTGAATAAAGTTTTGCTCCTTGTTTGTGACGTCACAATGTGAAAATGACCTCACTATGTAGGTCATTTGTGACGAAAAATGGTTTCAGCAATTCTACTCGTTCAACGACTGTAAAATTTATGGTATATCTTAGAAATCCCTTTGAAGTAGCGTATAATATGCACATAGTTTATAAAGACAAATGACTTCCTATAAATTCAATCCATGATTGGATTGATCGTTTTAGTGAAGGAAGGCAGATGGTTAAAAATTATACTTGTTATTTTGCCCAGTGAAAGCAAGTTTGAAAAGAGGTGTATTTTTAATTGAACAATTTGCTCTCCAAGACCTCCAATTTACACTTTGAAAAATAGTTGAATATTTCAACAATAATATAATTATTAAATTCCTAAGATATCGTTTACTTAAGATTTTAAACATATTAGAAATGATGAAAAGGAGGCACCCATACTCTATCCACCTTGAATAAACGTCTCTCCCGAGACAGAAGATTGGGGTTTTGATGGTTGCCATGCTTATTTTCGGAAAGGAAATTCTTATCCACCCATTCTGTTGCCGAGAATTGACCATTTCTGACAAATGAACTGTTCTTGTTATAAAAATTAACTTACATGGAAAGAAATATAAAACTCAGAAAAAAATCTGTCAGCTTTTGTGACTGAGCAGAACGGTGGCAGATGTGCATTAAAATAGGAGAGAACTAATTTAAAATAGAATCAACACTGAAACCATATATTGTTTCTTTTATGGACGTTATTCAATTAGTTCACGAACTTTTTGATCACCCCTCGTAGTTATCCAAGACGTAAATCAATCCAAAAATATGCAGAACGATCCATATACCGGCTATATTTCGTGTATGTCAACGTTACAACTTGAATTTATCCGCCATATTTACTGACCTTGATCACACTGCTCAACGCGTTGTCGGCAACTCGGTTGTTATCGGACACTCGGTGCAAGAAAAGCAGTGTTTAGAAAATGTGGGTAATTTTAAATTTCATATTTCAACGATAAATACGTATTTCGGCAAACAAAATTTGTGATCTATGACAGATAATTGATTATACTTTCAGCAGCAGAAAGCACAAAACAAATCACCCTCTTTCAAAAGATCTACAACTCTTTAAAATTATATTTTACAAAAATTGCGGAATATGTCATCACATTTTAAATTCTGTAGAATTCAAAATTAGTTTATTCTAGCAAACAAACTGGTCTACTTATTCTATGGACAATCAGATACCTTTAGATCAGCAAACTGAGATTAAAAATCCAAATTAAGGGTTAGTAATCAGTCTTTTAAAATGTCTCGTTAGTTGAAAACATGTTATCGTCAACACGGTTGATGTTGCTGGATACTATTTTAGACGGGTGTATGTTATCGGAAACTCAGGTTAAAAAGTTTCCTTTAGCTTCATAAATAGATTGGAAAAAGTCCATTATAATCTGCCAATGCTTGAAAATAGCAAACGTAAAAGTTTGTTTTGATATGAATGTATATAAATAAAGTTAATAATTATAAATTTATAATAGAACTACTCATCTGTTCAATCATTTTTGTTTTGCATTCAAGATAACCTCTTGGAAACTGCTTCAGGCGGATTCAGACGTAAATATATTATGTTTTATTAATCATAACAATTCTGCTTTAGACTTTTAATATATATGTATTCCGTTATCTTTAAAACAAGTTCAATTTTCCCGCATGATCCCCGGGGAACTAATCTTTTGTCCAGTAATGTCAATTTATTATCACGTCACAGTTACACATATAGCAGGTGTGGCTTAAGGTAGGATTCTTCTCATATTTCTAATATTTAAAAATTAATGAAATTTTCACAGAATCAAGAAGACAATATCAGTAAGTGATAATATCAGTGAAATTAAATTTGACCGTTTTATATTCGAGGCAAGGTCAGGTCAAGGTCATTATCTTTTTCCTTGACATTAAGAATAAAAAATAACTGGTGCCAATCATGTGATACCTACTTCTATTTCAAAAGTTTAATGATTGTTCTTTTTGCATAAAAACATATTATTATATCGGTTCTATAGCATGATATTACCAAATTTATATAAATAATTTAACTCAACTGGATATTGGCTAATCCGAATTTTCTCTGTTTTTCTTAATTTTTTAGGATATAATAGTTATTTTCATATGCTTCCTATATTTAACTTTTTCTTATTTTCACATATAATAAAGTAGTCTTATAAATGTACAAAATGATACAAAAACAAAAAGTTTTGATCGTTTACTAAGAGAGAAAAAATACTTTTAATGGATTTTTGGCTCAAATCTGCACTTTGATAGGAAGCGTTTATAAGCTAATAAAGTTCTAGTTTGTTTGAAGAATCATATTTATTTCATATATTGTGAAAGTTTAGTCCCTCACTATTAATCTTACTTACATTTGAAAATTTCTCCAAACCTTCGATTGTGTAAAAATTATAACTAAATTCATTGTTCTATTATAATTTTGAAAGGCCGAAAAGAAGATATTTTCATACGCCACCATTCCGCCAAAAATATAGTCCCTGCTAGTTTTCAAACGCAGTTTACCATTTCTATTTAAAGTTGTACAATTGTGATGAGGAAAGAAAAATATGGTCTTTTAAATTCCTTAAACCTCAATATATAAGACATATAAGCAAATATACTTTGAATGTTTCATCTAGTCAGAAACCAGAGAAGAATCCTACCTTAAGTAGGGGTGCCCCGTATATGAAACAAGTACCTGTGATTGTGACGTCAGGACTTATGTTGCTCCGCAAAAGAACTTTAACATATTTTTAGAAGCTTAAAATAGAATCACCCAGTTTATATGACTTTTTTTAAATACTTGATCTTGTGATCTTGTGTCAATCAGCTGACAGCAGTCAACAATAAAGAAAAATAATAATTCTTAATTCTTTTTTATACTATGTAATTTGGATATGTAGTAGATTAAAGAGACTATCCTTTCCAAAAAGCATGGTCCAGAAAAAAATATTTAAAAACTAATAATAAAATTAAGGGAGCCGTCTGGAATTTTATTGTGTTAGAAACACTTTATAAAAAAATATATAACTCATTTATCAACCGTTAAAATACCTACTAGTATTTAGGTGGAAGGGGTGCTGGTTGATTCACTTCAGTTCCTGGTATGTGTAACTTTTTCTACAAACAGTTTTTTGCGTTTTCAATTACAAGGGGGGGGGGGGGTGCCAGAGTTATTTTGCTTCAGTATAAACATCCAATAGCAATCCAAAATCCATGTCAGCCCCCCCCCCCCCATCCGAGCATTAGCTCTATCTATACACATTGAATTTGAGCACACTGCCGGATGTGACCGTTTATCAGGGGATTCTTATTCCTTCTTGTTACGTCAAACAACCTCCGATGTTTTAAAGATCTGTGATTACAATTTTGTAATATTTTAAAATCAACCTCTTCTCTCCTCAAAATTTTGAATTCTATGTCATATATTTTGGTCGAAATACCTATTTGGAAATTCATCTAACCACCCTTTCTTTAATTGGTTTACATGTATATACCAAACTTATAAATGTATTTGTGTTCGAAAGATTGTGAGTTTGAATTTCAGCGGCGACTGATTTAAGTCGATAAAAACGAGTGGCAACTGTTCCTTCGCCATGCGTTCAGCACCTTGGTTGTATGTTGTTTAACGCCCTCTTGAGAATTTTCCAGTCATATGGAGACGCCATCACTTGCCGGCGGAGAGCTTCAAAATTTGTCATATACTCAGCACTCAGGTCATTGAGCAGTGAGGGATCGTTTTTGTGCTACCACCCACTTCGACGTCCCTCTGTGGAATACGAACCCGCGACGTAAGGATCGACTCCTTACTTGGCGACTCTAGAGCATTCACTCTTGCGCCACGCGGGCGACTTCGGTACCCTGAAATGAAATTTAAAACTTATACCATATTTTCGAAGAAGTCAAGATCATGCAGATTCCAGTAAGAAATGCCAAAAAAACACTCATTTTTTAAAAGTTACATATTCTTAAAAGAGGCAAATTATAATAGCCAAAAATTAGAATTTTGTGCCAGCCACTTTAACTATTTAGGTTTCATACGGATTTCTGTCGTTTCTTTGCGTTTTCCCATAATCTATGACAACCTTTGTTTCCGATAACCAAAACCGAGTTATCCGATAACAAAGTGCATTATTCAACCGTATTTCCGATAACATACTGACAGTTAAAATTGGGCTATTTTTGCTCTTTAATTACATATTCGCAAGGTTCTATGGAAGTCTTCTTGTGGACAATCATTAACGCAAGGTAAATATAAGGATTTTGAAGAAAAAAGCTATTTACAACAATGCCAATCGGAGAAAAACTCGCAAAATATAACAAATTTGACTTTTAAAGCCTTTCAAAGGCTAAGAAATGCTACAGTAATACATATCGAGGCTTTATTTTGTATCCGTATTCGTTTCTGTTTACAAAAATCACAATGACTATTCTCTGTTTCTATTTTAACAGAGTTTATTTAAAATAATTTACTAACCTGTCAAAAATTGTTATCAACCGAGTGTCCGATAACAACCGAGTTGCGGATAACGCGTTGAGCAGTGTGTTGATAGGTTGTATTTTGAGACAGTTAATGAGAATTTAGGTTCTGTAGGAGCAGATCTTTTAGGAATTCCCTTTTTAAGCATAAAAATCGCTGTTTGTGTAAAAATAACACTTGAAATGGTTTTATTTATCGATGTTTTTGTGATACAATTCAGCACAATCATTTATTATAAACACCGACATTTGCTTTATTGAGTTGTTCTAAATTTCAAGCGAAAGTCTCAGTACGTCACGCGTGAACTGTCAAGTTATTTTGCCTGCAGTCGCCCCAATTTAAAAAAAAAATATTTGCACCATTACGGAAATGCTTTGGAATTGTAGCCTTCTCCAGAAAACATCAGATTAAAAAAATCGGAGAGGGCTATACACATTATTGCAACTTTGATAGCTCAGTAATATGTACTACCTGTTCAATGCTCTAGAAGGGAATAATTTTTTGGTTCGAGCCCCGCGCGGGGTATTAATTTTTTTTTTAAATAATTAATTCTTTTGTCATTTTTATTCAATGTACTGATTTATTTAAGTTTTGATTTAGATAATTCATTTTCACTGAGAGCGAAATCTTATTACGGTTCGAGGGTCGACAAAACGCATTTTGCCCGAGAAAATAGTCAGTAAATGTTTTGTTATACCTTTTTTTGGACATACATGTATTTTGTACTGTTTTCCGTGATGTAAGCTCAGGCCCCTCACTGTTAAACACCAACGAATGAAAATGAGATTAAGCTCCGCCCATTCTGTGACGTAAGCGGTTCAACATCTCATCAACCGGTCGAACATCTCACTCAGAGGTTAAACATCGAGTTTTTTATGCCCACTCAGCAAAACATTTGAAATGTTAGACTTTTTTCGTATTGATTTCTATAGGAACATTTTTTTTAAAGGTATAACAATTAAATTTGATGCGAAATTGACAGAGTTCTGTAGTATATATACAAAATTGAAATAAGGTTAAGATATGAAAGCAACAGAAGCGACCGAAAAAGACCCAAAACACAGCGTTTAAGTGCAGTCATCCTTTCTGTAAAATTCCTTTAAAATGATATTCCTGCTACAGTTTTAGATTAATTTCAATCTAACTGGGCACAGAAATAGATACATTTTTGGTCTGATTTCAATGTTACTTGGCACACAGGAAGACTACATTTAGATACATAATTCCACTAATTGCTGCCTGTTGAAAAGTTTCAAATCCAAGTGCTACTTTTCATTTGTTATACGGACAGACCGGTAAAGCTACAGTCGCATCAGAGACTTCTTGTGGCTTTAAAATAAGAGACTTTACAGCGAATTACAAAATACCGGTAGTTTTCAATAGCTTGCTGGATAACTCAATAGGGGATAGAATTTGATCTAACAAGTATCACATTAGGTTTGAATGATCTAGATCGAAAGATTAGTCAGGTGTATCTCTAGATTTTACAGGTAAATTTGAGTTGATTTCAATGTTATATGATTGATTGTATGTCGTTTAACGTCCCTCTCAAGAATTTTTCACGCATATGGAGATGCCTCCACTTGCCGATGGAGAGCTGAAAATTTTGTCCTATACTCGGCACCTCAGGGCTATGAGGCAGTGAGGGATCTTTTTCGTGCCAGCACCTACTGCGACACGGGACTTCAGTTATACGGTCTCATTCGAAGGACCGGTCTCCACGTCCTACAGTGGAATTCCAACCTGCGATGTAAGGATCAACTCTTTACTTCGCGACTCTAGAGCAGATGCTCTAACCACTGCACCATGTGGGCGACTCAATGTTGTATGAAGCAATATGTATGTACCATTGTGTTCTGCTATACTTAAAATTTTTAACCGATTAGCAATTCTGTATTCGATTGCCATCCCTAAATATAATTAAATGCAATATTTTTTATGCCCCCTAAACGTAGTTTCGGGGGCATATAAGTTTACCCCTGTCTGTCTGTATGTATGTACATTTGTCTGTCTGTCTGTTTGTCCCCAAAAACTTTAACCTTGCCAATAATTTTGAGTGGTTGGGGTATATGACTACCATATTTCACAGGTGTATTCCTTGTGACAAGACCTTTCTTTGAATACCACCAAATTTGACCCCTTGACCTTGGAGTTTGATTTACTTTTACAAAAAAAAATATCACACTTTAACCATGATCATAACTTTCGAACAGTTGAGACTAAGGCCCTCATACTTCATCCGTGTATTCATTGTGATAAGACCTTTTAGTGAGTAGAAATATTTTTGACCTTAGAGTTTGACCCTCTTTTTTTAAACTTTAACCTTGGTCATAACTTTTGAATAATTAGACCTAGGGCTTTCATATTTCAGTAGAGTAAATTAACAAACTTATAGGAAGTATTGAACCGTACATTTGTATTGCTCAGTATCTTTTCTTAAGGACAGTGCAAGGTTGGTTTGATCCGATGTACAGATGGTGTATACAATCAATAAGATAATATATATCTCATATCTGATAGCTTCCTCCATCTCTGTTAACGCAAACTACACTTAAATTTGAAATGTACAGACAATATATAAATGGTAAGTTTATTTGATATCCTTTATAATGATTTGATCTCATTCTGTTTTTATTAATGGGGTATATTTCTTAATGACCTTAAATTATAATTATAAAAAGATAAAAAGCGAAATTCACGCCAGGCAATGAATATCAATTCGTAATATCTGTTATCCGGGTTTTAGTAATAGTTTAATTAGTATTTTAGGGCTTGTTTGTAAAACACGATTTCAATTTCTTGAAGCACGTATTCTATTTATCGTTATTCTCTAGTACATGTATCCTTACAGTAGATTTTTTTTTTTTTCATTTTAGAATTGTTTTTCTATAATTTTGAAAGTATATAGTTATAGAGAATAGTTATGCCCCTTTTTTTAATCATGCTAAATTATTTTTAGATTTAAAAAAATTAATTTTTGTCCACAAAATGGAGTCAAAGCCACCATTTGAACTTTTTACAGGCGTCTTACTGATTGTATATCTCATCGTCATACTTGGAATACTTCAACATTTGCTTATCACCCGAAAGTATCAACTGCGTATTTGGTACCAGGATGTTGCAACAACCTTTCGCTCTCCAAGGACTAATTCTAATGATACAGATATAAACTCCAAAAGTGCAAAACAAAAAACTGTTCATAAATCAACATCCACTGTTAGTTTGAAAATTTTGAAAACGACGAGCATCAAATTGAATCCACAAAATGCACCCACTGCTCTAAGAAATTCGACGACCATCGCAGAAACCACATCTGTAAAGAGTTTTTCTCGTAGTAATTCAAAAGAAGAACCCAGATATTTATTATGTGTTGGAACCATGGGAAGATTAGGAAACCATTTGTTTGAGTTTGCATCTGGGTATGGAATTGCTGCTAAAAAGAACATGATCTCTGTAATTCGGCAGCGTGGATTAGTGGACACTGTTTTTGAGCTTAAGAATGACAGTCATCTTCTGCTAATGTCCGATTTGAATGTATGTAAAGGAATACCCCAACGATATGAAAGATGGTGTAGTCGTTATGATCCAAAGTTGGAAAACTTTACTGCAAATTCAAATTTATTTATAGGATGGGGACTGCAGTCGTGGAAATATTTCAATGCATCTTCTCAAAATCTTCGAAAACAAATGACATTTAGAAAACACATACGTGAAAAAGTTACTGAAATTCAAGAAAGAACCTTAAGAAAATTCAATTTTACGTCACGTGCTGACGCCACGTTTATTGGCGTTCACATACGCCGTGGGGATATGTTAACTGACCCACTTGGCTATGACGTAGCTACACCGGAATATATCTCTCGCGCAGTCGATTTTTTCAAAACTTATAAAAACACGATTTTCATAGTATGTTCAATGGACTTACCTTGGTCGCAAAAATACATGCCAAGTAACGTTAGAGTGGAATATAGTGTTGGAAATTCAGCGGAAGTGGACCTGGCTCTGCTGGCGTCCTCTGATCACGTGATTCAAACAGTGGGTACATTTGGATGGTGGGCTAGCTGGCTAAACAGTGGAACTGTGATTTATTACAAATGGCCGGCAAAGGAAGACGGGAAACTAAGGTCAACATTTAGTGCAGATTATTCAGATTTCTTTTTGCCTTCTTGGATAGGAATGTAATTCTTCCACAATGTAGCTGATTTATGCCGCCGGTCTTACAGTCTAGTACCTACGGACTTAGGGTCAGTTACAGTGAATCTTGTTTAACCCGAACCCAATGATTTTTTTTTCAAAGAAACTGACCGGATCAGACTATTTCCAGGATTGGACAACTTTCAGGATTATAGACAACATTTAAACCGATCAAATTACTGAAAGGAATGTAAAGTTTAATTCATAGATCGTATTTGGCAATATTTCGGAAAGCACAGCATCCAGATTTAAAAAAAAATCCTGTTTTGAATATCTACATCAAGGGTTGCTTTAAAACATACAAATGGGAAAAGCCAACATTATTTGGGCTTGGTATTTGTGATAAGGGCGTTTTTCAATACCAGTAATAATTCTCTTCTTGTAAACCCAGTATTTAGTAGATATTATCATTATACACTGTAAAAATATATATTTTTTGAAAAGTTATGTTCAATGAAGGATGTTGAAAATTAATTGCATTATAGATTTTAATATCCAGGGAGGAAGATAAAATGTAGAAGCTGTGCTCTTAATTTTCCCGATAATTAAAGCAATGATATTATTTATGGGAAACTTCTTAAGAGTTAGCTAACAAACAGAACAACAGTCTGAACGAGAAAAATAAGAGCTTTTGTGGGAGACGCAAACAGATTGATTACATCTATACATATCATTATTGAACAAGACAACAGGTTTTCGTGCCAATCACTCGATATTGATTGTGTAGAGGAATTTTACGTGAGACTTAACAAAACAATTGAGATATCTTCAGTCAATGCACAAAGTCAATAGAAGTTGTGACTGTCATTGAAGCTATAGGTGTAGTAATGGAGACAATGCCTCAACGCAGCAGTGTAATCAGCTCGACCATAAGCTTAAGAGCTTCTGAAATCATGTTTCAATGTTGAAATGTTAACTATTTCTTGAAAGACGTCAACAGTGATTTTATTCATTTATGTAGACCATGCAGTAGACAACTTTTCGATGAGAGATCAGAGGGACATTGCAGACAATTAATTACATTGAATGTTCTGTTGTTGATATCGATAAGAACAAAACCGTCAGTGTGATGGCCTGCATCCTTTTGTTGCAAATTGGTTTGTTTAAAAATCTGTAGTGCCATGCAGGGAATTACATGTTCTGGATAGACCTTAAAAAAATAACATCTAAAGCACTCAAAAGTGTGCACCAAGTATCTTGGCCATCCCTGTCTCTAACATGCCAAAAAAAAAAAAATAAACGATTATTTTCGTAGATGATTTCTAAAATATCAATTCAAATTTTCCTTTAATTAAAGCAAAAAAGTGGATACTTTAAAAAAAATTGCAGTAAAAAAGCAGTTATTTTTTTTAAAAGTCACTAGGTTTTGAAATTCTTGAGCAAATTTTTAAGATCGTAATAAAAATGACAATTTGAAATAATGTCACTATTTTGATAACTATCAATGCTTACTTTTAATATTGACTACAAATGCAGTGTTCATTTTATCCCAAGAAATAAATACTAGTATACAACTACTTTTTTCCATGCGCAGTGTATTTGAATTCTATTACCTAGAATCAAAACACGTGAACAAAATGAAGTACATAATCATCTGGTTCCGGGGTTACAGATTCTATAAATGACAACCCTCTATCTCGTTTCCACTTTTGACACATGTATTTCCTTTGTGAAAGAGAGACTGTGAGGCTACATGGACTTGTCCGACTTGTTTGATTGACAATGGCTGGTATATCCTTTTGACCTTGACCTTCGAGTTAAACACACTTTGACACAAAAAAATTTAATTTATTACTTTGGTCATATCTTTTGAACAGTAAATTAACGAATTAAATTAACTGAATTAAATTTTGAAAAGAGATCTTCTGATGATATTTTGCAACAGCCAATCTGGAATAATCGTAATTTGGTATTGTTTGATTCTCTGGAAGATTCAAAAGCCATACCTCTGGGTCTGCAAATGAGAAACCAAATGCAATGGATTTTCCTTCATTTTGCATGGTAGTATGACAGTACATAAAACATACAAAATGCACAAAAATGTATCTTATATTATTCAAAGATGTATGTAACATGATTGTATGCCTACATGTTTGGTGAATCAACAAATTACTGAATTGAATTAAACGGAACTACCGGATGCCATGAATACATCTTAAATGATGGTCACTGTTAATTGAATTCTGGAAGACCTTGCCATGATTTCAATTTTAGGTAAAGTGTAGGCAAATTGATGACCACCCCATAGTTGCTTTTAACATATTATAATCTAGACTCAAGGTAATACCTCAGAGGTCAAAGTTAGAATTGTGATCCGAATACAACTTTGGAATGCTTAGTATAAAACGGTTCAAACTTTTAACATGTTATTATAATTACAGATTTATATTGTCAAATTACAAGGTCTCCAAGCGATCATGCAGATGGTAAAACGTGGCCTTGCTAAAAATCTGCACCCTAGCGTATCTTACCCTAGCCATCTTTTGCGGTTGTCTGTAAAATTAGATACAGATGGGTCAGAAATAAATGAATTTATGATGACAATTTAGAATGAACTTTATAACATCTGGTTTGAAATTTTTTTAAATATCTAATATTCAGGTACATTGAATATTTTCTTATTTTTTTAAGTTTGTATATCAAAATTTAAAAAAAAGTAATAATAAGTACAGTGTTTTCATGAAACATAAACAGAAATAATGCACCCTTTAAATCTTTATTTAAACAATAAAATGCTTTTTTTGGTTGTTAGTGCGGAAATTAACATTGCAGCTGTTGCAGAAAATATACATACTCCGCTTAATAGGATTATGTAATAATGCATACAACTTTCTTCAGCGATATTGTTTTTGATATATTGATCGGACAAACGCTTTGCAGCATCAATCCTGGCATTTTTATACTCTATTACAACTATTAGTTTTTCTTCATCACGTATATCGTTATGTAAAACATTGTGACCAAGAATTCGAATGTGCCTACCGAGGAAAAAAATGTTCTCTTTTAAGATGAAATATTTGGATTCTTCTCAAGACAGAATAGAACTAAGTGCAAAGATGTAGAGTCAAAGATAAGCAATAAATCGGTGTATAGATACTGCCTTTCATTTTACCAATGTCTACGTGTGACTAGGATACTACAGTATTTGAAATTCATTGGTGATACACATGTATATCTAACCATCAATAAATGACCTTGATGACCTGACTTTAATCTTTGAAATTCAAATACATGTATATTGTTTGGCCGTTATTTACACACTGAATTTTGTATAGGAGCACACGAAGTGTGTGACCTGTCGGCAGGGCATGCTTATTCCTCAATGACACCTGATCCCACCTCTGATGTTGAATAGGTCAATGTTTGCTTTCCTACTGATTTGTATTGTTTGAATTGACTTTTGAGCTTGAGTGTTTTTCGTTTTTCTCCACATACATGTATCTCATTGTGCAACATCCTGTAGGAGATCATAAGCAAAATCTTCAATCAATTGAAATGAAATTCCAGAGTATGACTTCATCACAATTTACATATTTCATATTGTTTAGTAACAATGCATTATCATTGAAATATGACGTTGAGTCGAGGACTTGATACTCTTATGGGTTATTAGTCACAACATACTTGATTTTGAATAAGTTCCAATCAAAAGTTATAGACTTAAGGGGGCTCTCTGCAACGTCACAACATGGCGTACTTCCGTAAAAACGCCATTTTGATCCCAAATGATCAGATTCAAATTCACTTAACACCGATAAATCACTGAGTATACCACAACATGCGATATTGTGGATGGAATGTACATTATATCACATCCATTAATACAGTGTATTGCCCAATACGTATCCTTTCTTTAAAAATGAATTGTTTGTCAATTTATTCAATTTCTACTTATTTAATTATTAAATAATACATTCACAAACTTATTAGAATAAGATTTTTAGATGAGAAAAAAATGATATAAAACATGGCTTGACCATATGCTAATTCATCATTACGTGTCAAAACGCCATACACTCAGAAATTTATTTCTCCAATAAGCATATATGCTTTTCAGCAAAATATATCCCCCCAAAAATGCAAATTTGATAAGATAAGACATATGTATTATCTTCCCATCGACTAGAGGATACTCGGTTCTCGATTTGTATACACCCGAATGAATGGTTATACCCGGTGAAATTTCGCATGACCCAAACGTTTGATCACCATTGATTGTCAGCTGTTTACAAGTAGACGAAGTGTGCATTTGGTTATAGGAATTTCTTTTACCGCTTTTGGCCATTTACCATCTTAACTTGTTTTGTTATATATATAGCACTGGATAACACATGCAAGTTGGATAAAAACGGTAAGTAAATCTACCTTTCTCAATAAGTCAATACCATGAATTCACTAAATACATGTCTTTGTCATTGACTGGAAACGCGATGATTTTCGCTTAAACTCATTGAAAAACAATACATGTACAATACGAACTTCTTTCAATGTCCTTGCGTGACATTTGTTTAATACTTGTGCAAGTAGAGTTTATTTGAAGTTTATATAAAAAAAACAGTACCAAGATATTTGAGTCCACTCTTAAAGCGGATCTCTCACACCTGAATTTTTGTGATGTTTATAAATTTTTGACAGTTTTCAATTTTTTTAAATTTCTTTTTTTCATTGTTTTTACCCTTTGATATTATATATCTTTTCAGATATTGAAGAGGATCCAACCAGCTATTCTCAAGAAAATGCTGTTTTAGTTTTTCTTTTGTCTATTTTTGTAAATTTAGATAAAAATTATGTTGATTTTATTTTTATCTTTGTTGGTTATTATTTCAATATTTTATAACGCTAAACTTTGAAAAGAAATTTAAAGCACTGGGCTTTTAAAAATATAGATAGGAGGGATTTTAACAAAATAAATGAAATATTTCAAATATTTCTAAAAAATAAATTGAAGTACTTTGGAACCTTATTTTATCGGATATGGGGCCTATTATTAGAAACAAATGCATGCAACAAAAATCAGTTATACTTTATAGGTGTAGAGAGCCCCCTTAATTCACTTTACGGAATAACTTAAATGCAAGTGACCTTCAACTTGAAATAAATCATGCTATTAAGTTGAGGTCATACTATTAAGACTTCTCGACATATGGACCGGATACAATTTTGTGAGACTTCTCGACATATGGACCGGATACAATTTTGTGAGACAAAAAGCTAAAAAACAACATACAAACAAGCGTTTGAAAAAATCATGCCAAACTTTTCTCCCGATGGAAAATGCATGCAATAAAAAACGAAATTTAGCAACGTTCAAATTTGGTCCTGTCCATGATATAAAAATAAAACACAATGAAAAATGAAATACATGTTTATGTGGTTCGCAGATTATTCATAACAAGCATTGATGTTAATCCTAAATCTGATCCTGATCAACCTAAGTCTGATGTTTATAGATGTTCATGTTTGCTCTGCTCCAGGTTCGTATTGTTTGAACGGACTTAGAGCTGTTTGTTATCTCCATATATCTCACATACTCGTACATGCCAGGAGAACAAGACAGGATGACAAAGTGACTGCCATCATTCCTTCTAAAATATAGGTATTTTATCAATAAATATGAGGTATCTTCGTGGGGTACAGGCAATTTTTTTTCTATGCTAATTCCTTTCCATACAATACTACATTTCCTTCATACCGGGTATTACTTTAGTTAAGTAAACAGTGGTGGTGGTGGGGGGCAAACAGCATTTCAATGAACATTTTCAATAGTAAAAGTAGTGCTGGGAAAAAAGTGGGGGCCACCCTGCCCCTCCCCCCCCCTCGTTGCTACGTGCCTGCTTTTTGGCCTTATATGCAGGTAACCGGTATTCTGTGTTATTGGAAAAAACGTGTATTTTAAAACTTATTGTAATTAATTTTAAAAAAAAGAAAAAAATAGCCAATTTCGTGACCTTTCTATAATATCTTGTACCGGTAGGCTCTGAATTAACCCACGTGGCGCATTGATTAAATCGTCTGCTTTAAATTTAAGGCGCGGAACAAGGAGGTGAGCATTACATCGCGGGTTCGAATCCCTTTGTATGGAACGCCGTCACTGCCTTATAACAGAACACTACAATTGCATTGAGTCAACTTTCAATTCCATTATGTCAACACTTTGTGACATTTACTTACAGTACTATTGCATTAAGTCAACTTTCCATTACATTATGTCAACTCTTTATGACATTTACACACGCTACTATTGCGTTATGTCAACTTTCCATTACATTATGTTAACTCTTTATGACATTAACCCACACCACTATTGCATTGTGTCAATCTTCCATTACATTATATCAACTCTTTATGACATTTACACACACTACTATTGCATTGTGTCAACCTTCCATTACATTATGTTAACTCTTTATGACATTAACCCACACCACTATTGCATTGTATCAATCTTCCATTACATTGTGACATGACCCGGCGAGTTTTCCTTTGAAGTCAAGCATACTGTAACTGCGATACAGAACACTTTTTGTGGGCATTTCTTATGCAAATGAGCAGAAACTGTACTGTATCTGCAAAATATCAACGATACAGTATGGTTTATTTTTAGCGATGACGGAAAGCTGTATCTGTATACAGACACAACAATCGTTCAATTCGCATGATAGCACTCTTAGTATTTACTCAAAATTTGAGATGAATTAAAAGTAAAATTTTACAACGTGAATTTATTAGTGTCGGACTCGAAAATTTTAGAAAGGAGTGAGTGAGGCAGTTCACCAATGATTACTTTGAACCCCCCCCCCAAAAAAAAAAAATCAGTGGAAAATGGTATTTCGTGAGGTTAGATTTATAACCAACCAAGACACAATGTGCCTGATATCGTAACCTGTTGATAAATTAAAAAGCGTATAATGTATACCAGTTTATCGAAAATCATTTACGAAAGCGAAAAAGAAAAAAATCAAAGGAGGGTGGGGTGGGAGCCCCCAGTGAGTGCTGAGATCCCCTTTGCTTACACTATATTTTATTAAAAACATGAAGGTAAAATACCCCCCCCCCTTCCTTTCATCTGTTTATTTCAATTTTGTTTATGACGACCGGTGGAGGACATTGTCGGGCATTTCTCTCAGATTACGTTTTCCCTGAAGCATTTTTGTTCCAAAACATTCCCACATTATTCTTATGTATCAAAATGTATTGCATTAAATCGTAGTTTAAAATAAACAAAAAATATCAGCAAGAGCTGAATAGAGAAAAAAATCCTACGCAATGAAATCTAAAATTAATTATTTGGAAACAAATTATATAATGCATCCCCTAAATAATTATTTCAAAATGATAAATACCTGCACGTCCATCTCCCTCAGCATTTCAGTTGCGAATGCTTAAAATGTGATACTAAATCAACTTTCTGCAAAATTATCTGATTGGTTGAGTGATATGTACCCAAATACGCATGTAAATATGTGAGGTCATTTGGAAGGTCATGTCACAAATCATTTAAAATACTCGTTTCCTACTGTATCGGAGATACAGGGCGGGGCCCGGCTCGAGCTATCGCTCTCGCCTTAAGCCCCGCCCTGTATCTCCGATACAGTAGAAAACTCGTACTTTAAATATAACTTATGTCAACTCTTTAATTATGACATTAACCCACACCACTATTGCACTGTGTCAATCTTCCATTACATTATATCAACTCTTTATGACATTTACTCACACTACTATTGCATTATGTCAACCTTCCATTACATTATGTCAATTCTTTATGACATTTACACACTCTACTATTGCGTTATGTCAACTTTCCATTACATTATATCAAGTCTTTATGGCATTAACTCGTACTTCAATATTACATTGCGCCAATCTTCCATTGCACTATATCAGCTCTTTATGACATTAAGTCAAAACAATTTTACGTGGTGTAAGGATGTTTTTATATAATTTCAACTCATTATTACATTATGTGCACTTTCTACCATTTGGTCTAAGTAGTTCATTACATCATGTGAATTTATCTTTAATTCAATATCAAGTTGCTATAACACAATGTCAGAATTTCATTACACAATGTCACATGTGGCCAATTCTTTACTATATTGTGTCATCAATATGCTACATGACGACGGGAATCTATTACATGATGTCAATTTTCCCTTACTTTTTGACAAATCATTATTATGTTATGCCATTGTATCTTTACATTGTGTCTAAAATGCTTAGCCTCTTGTCAGTATATCTTAGAATATTTCAACTCTTTATTGTGTGACGTAAGGTTTAGGTTATGCCTAAAAGTTCGTTTTGTGTTTTCAATATTACATGCACATATGTTAAACATGATTAAAAATAATTTAAATCAAACATATCAAATTTTAAATTATACACAAGACTTAATTAATTCTTAATTAAATATGAGGTTAAAATTTATAAATAGGATCATGTTCCCATGGAATCTTTATTGACGACTGTTTTTAATTCAATGCCCGTTAAATCTCATAATTATCGCAAATCAAATAGTATGTGTCATGCAGTAATATTTTCCTTGAAAAGTCCGAAACTTCTATTCTAACTACAAAACACTGTCCTAAGCTTTTTATCAGTCTTTAACCCTCAAAAAAAAAAAACTGTAAACACATCGTATTTCATACGTGCACTGATGGGTGCGTGGGGAGAGGGGGGATCCCGCCCTCCCATCTTTAGTGACCAAAATATGCATGAAATTAATCAATTGGTTTTACTTTGTAGGACATTGCATTAGTTTCACATAAAGTATAACTGAAATAAGTTGAAACGTTTTATATAAAAAAAAAAACTTAAGCCTGAGAGCCTCCAGGCTTTCACCCCCTGGTCCCCAACTTAGACACCATACCGTCCCCCTGTAGCTACTCTTTTCAACAACCCAAGATCGCCACTGATATGTGCCTATGTTTACTGAGGCATGGTCAATTGATTTAAGAGAGGGACTGGTAGATTTTTGTAACAGAATTCTAGTCCTGGAATGGTTGAAAAATGACTCATTCCGGTGACGTTGCATCGTTTTTTAAAAGTTTGGGGAGGTTTGTCAGCCAGAAAAAAATAACGTACAAGAAAAAGCAAAAAAAAAAAAATGTCCAAACTCGAAAATCCCTTTTCGGGTGAAAGAGGGGGGCGGGGAGGTCCAACTTCGATCAGTCCTAAAAAAAAATTTCCAAATATACTACATTACAGGCACGTAGCAACAGGGGGGGGGGGGGGCAGGGGGGCCGGCCCCCCCCCCCACTTTTTTCCCCAACATTACCTTTACTGTAGAAAATGTCCATTGAAGAGATGGTTCCCCCCCCCACTTTTTACCACAGTATATCTATAGCAAGGAAATATAGGAAAAAATTGGAAGTGAAAGGAAGTTGGCCTTGAAAAAATTTGGCCACTTGCCCCCCCCCCCCCCCCCCCCCCGCCCCCACGAAATAGGATTTGGCCCCCCCCCCCATTTTTTTCCCCAACATTACCTTTACTGTAGAAAATGTCTATTGAAGAGATGGTTGCCCCCTCCCCCCACCTTTTACCACAGTATATCTATAGCAAGGAAATATAAGAAAAAAATTGGAAGTGAAAGGAAGTTGGCCTTGAATAAAAAAGAAACCCCCCCCCCCTTCCCAGTCGTTAAAACACGGTTATCAACTTTCACATAATGTAAAGGTATTTTACAGCACGTAATGAACATTTGTAATCAACATGATAAAGAATTAACATAATGTAAAGATAGTTTTAAATCACATAAGAAAGAGTTGACATAACGTAATTATATATCCACATCACGGAATGGAGTTTTGACATAATGTAATAAAGTGTTGGTATAATATGGAACGCCGGGGCTGTCTCCATAATATATGTTCACATTATGTTATAAACCTTTTTACATCACGTAATAAAGCACTGACATAAAGGTAAGATGTTTTCACCTCACATTGTGATGACCTCGGCGTAAAATAAAGATAATACATTAACATCACGTAATAATGCTTAGTTATAATAGAAATATACGCTCACAAAAGGGAATGGTCTTTGGCTTAACGTAATGATAAATTTAATCATAGAACACATGTTAAACGAAATTAACTTGACATAATGCAATTTTGACCTCACATATCAAAGAAATGAAATAATATAAAGAAACATTCACTTCACGTAATAAAGTTTTAACACAATGTAAACATATTTTCACTTCACATAATGAACTTTGGACTTCAAGTTATGAAGTGCTGACATAATGGAAGAATGTGTTTACTTCATGTAATGCAGCATTGATATAATGTAAAGATATTTTTCCATCACCCCATAAAAAAATGACATAACGTAAAGATATGTTCACATCACGTAATGATAGATTGACATAATAAATGCATAGTTTTATGCTATAAGGCAGTGATGGCGTTCCATACCTTTGCAAGACGCGGGAGACTTTAAGTGCTGGAACGAGAAAGATCTCTCACTGCTCATTGCTCAATGACCGCAGAGTACTGTGGAATCATTTCAATTCGTGGGGCCATCGTTCGCGGGAAAGCAAAATTTGACCTGTTCGTTGAGACTTTATTTCGTGGGTTACTCGTAAATGAGATGTTACAATGAATCAATATGTTGACAATATTAACGTTCGTGCAGATGTAAATTCGTGGGTATGGGTGACCCACGAAATCCTAGAAATTGGTCCCTCAAGAACAATGAGGGTTCTATAGTATAGATTTAATTTTTGCAGCCCTACATCAAAAAGTGATTGTTACCAGGATGAAAACACCTTTTATTTAATTCTTGCATCGTTCTAAAAAACGTCTTACGCCACAGACCCGAAATAGGTCCTATAATTACAGCAATCAAACTTACATACATACTGTATGCAGTTCACTAGCAATTCTCTCGATCAAGAATATTTCATATCTTATGCCTTAGAGTAAAACATATTTTATCATTTTAGGTTTTATCTGATCAATTATGTCTTAAAATATACCAAGGTGTTAAATATAGCTATGTACCCGTTTGACACGTTTTGATATCAACACCTTATTGGAATCCAGAATATAGCCCAAACCTCATTACTTTAGCCTGTCAAGATAAATGTGTCTGAGGCATGGACCGGGACCATGATAGTCCAAATCTCTGATATCTGTAGAACATTTAGGCGGATGAAGTTCTGAAATTGCATCCATGCATAATATATATCGGACAAGAAAACTGAAAGGTGATTATTCTTTTTATTTCAAAGTCTTGATTTTTTGGCAAATATACTTATATTTTGGGGGGTGTTTTTGATACTTCCCTCGTTGTGTGTATACATTGTGTGGTCTACGTATCGATTTTCTGTCATGTGATCGTGTTATTTATATAAATTGTTTAACATTTCGCTTCCTATGATATGAGGCATTTCATACCTGGTTAGTTGGAATGGTACGGAGATAGTTTACTCATGATTGCATGATAGTCTTTAAAAAAAAATAATTTACGTATACTGCAATGAGCTACTGAAGGGTAAATTTGTTCACATTGTATAAATCATTTAAGAATGGACGAATTCCAATTAGATTATATAATTTGTTGCTCAGTTCCACATGCATTTATAGCTGTTAGGCATTTGTCGCAAAATTAATGATTATTTATGACCAATCAGCAATTGAGCACTTGTAAAAACAAGGATACGAGCATGTATTTTCTAGCTCACCTGATCTGAAAGATCATTGACCTTCTTTGATCATATTTTTCTGTCTGTCCGTTGGTAAACTTTTCACATTTTCGACTTCTTATTGCATCAGAGCCACAAGGTGAGTAAAAATCAAACTTGCCACAAAGCATCCTTGGGTGAAGGGAATTCAATTTTTTTTCTTCAAATGAAAACATTTTTTACTCAGTGTAAGTACTTTTAGATCTACTTTTTCTTCCATTTCAGGTTTTCTTGTTTTTGTTCTGATCCTGGTTTGTCTGGTGTATCTATTACGTCACAGAGTAAGAGTTAAATATACAGATAATAATCTACCGTCCCGTATAATCATTTCCTTTGATGATGCCACATTATCCAAAGAAAGTGAAAGTGAAAGAAGTATACAGGATCAATATTTATCTGCTAGTACAGGAAGACATCCGCCCTATTTGTGTGGGTATAATGTTGGACGAATAGGAAACAGACTTTTTCAATTTGCATCTTTGTATGGCATTGCAATATTGAAAGGTCTGAAGTATGTCATCCATCCCAATGACGTCATAAATCAGATATTTCTTATTCACAATGACTCTAACCTTTTAATAACAGACAATATGGAGTCTATTTGTAATGTTACTATATATAGAAGGGAACGTTTATGTTGTGGCTTTGACAGCAAAATTTTGAATTTCAATCCGAAACCAGGGGAAACTTATAGAATTATAACGTATCTACAGTCATGGAAATACTTTGAAAACGCTAAAGAAAGTATTAAAAGGCAGTTCAGTTTCAAACCAAAAATTATATCCTCTGTGAAAAATGTGACTGCTGATATTCTCCGACGCTTTAACGTCACTTCCCGTAATGACGTAGTGCTTGTGGGTCTCCATGTACGACGAGGTGATATGACTATGAAGAACACATACGGCCATGAGGTTGCCACTCCGGAATATTTATATAAAGCAGTTGACCATTTCAACAATTTTCTGAATGTAATTTATGTCGTCTGCTCCACCGATCTCACATGGATTAAGGCAAATATGCCAAGAAATGCAGCAAAAGTTTACTTCAATACCCCAAACGCATATCCAGAAAATGATCTTGCTCTGATAGCCTCTTGTGATCATGTGATCACAACTGTTGGGACTTTTGGATGGTGGGGAGCATGGTTGTCAGGGGGTCACGTGACGTTTTATAAATGGCCGGCCAGAGACGGGACAGTTCTGAGGAAAGGATTCAGTGAAGACTTTATGGATTACTTTTACCCCAGATGGGTTGGATACTAATAATGTCACAACATCTACAGATAACAACCACTCCCACCCCCCAAAAAACTAATTAAATTTACAGAATGTTCTGTAGCTTGAAGAATCTTTATTAATAAAGTATTTCTTGGCTATAGCTTGTTTCTGTTTATATCAAGGAAAGTTAAATTCCATATAAATTAGCATAATTTTTTAGTCTTACATAGGCTAAGCGTAATTTAAGACTTATGAACCCTTTCTTAACCAGTGTTTTCGATAGTACTGCACATGTAGTAGATATACATGTACAAAGATGTGAATGTGAAGCAGACCTTTAGGAATTTTTTAGGACCAATTTTTATTTTATTCTTATAAATGTTTTTTTTTATCAATTTTCAATCCTTTATCTAGCTATTGAGCTAAATGTTCTAAAGCCCATAATTCTTATAATCAGTCTAAAATTTACGAAAAGGGCGATTTCCCAAAAAAGTAAAGTATAATTTGTGATTTCTTATTGCACACTTTCTTTTAGCTGCAGAACTGTAGCTCTCCGAAAAAAAATATATTGATAGACCTGAGAGCTACAGTGCCATCCATTGAAAAAAACTGTATATTTATTGCGCATAAAAAGTTTGCATTTGGTTTTTGATCAAATCTTCCAAATTCTTACCTCACTTGCAAAAAAGCTAGATTTCAAAAAATTCCTTACTCCACTATCAAGTACATCCGTAGTTTAAAACTGCACGAGGTACGTTGGACCCAATTATCTTGCAAACCAAAATGGCAGTATAAATAGACGAAATTTTTGAAGATCTCAATTTCAGAGCCAGGAGGGCTAGTTAACAACAATTATAAGGAATGTTTTGTTGTGGAAACAGTGAGAGAATATGTTAGGAACACACAGTTAGTAAAATTTTGAGATGACAGTTTTAAAAACATGGAAAAATATATCAAGAAACAGCGCACTTCTTAGTGCGCAATAAATATACAGTTTTTTCAATGGGTGGCACTGTAGCGCTCCGGTCTATCAATATATTTTTTAGGAGAGCTACACTTCTGCAGCTGACTTTGTTTCCACAGATAATGACTTCGTTCTTGATTTATATCTCAAGATCTCGAATTCTCACACGATCAACTCGTTCTCTCGATTCTGGAATTACAGAACTCGTTACCACATGTTGCCAGTCAGTTATCTCGATTTATAGACGGTCAGTTTAAAGAAACCATTCCCTTGTATCATCTTATTTTGTTTAAGCAACTCTATATGTATTTTTGTGGTTCAGTGGTTAGAGCGTATTCTCTAGAATCGTGAAATAAGGAGTTGATCCTTACGTCGCGGGTTCGAATTTCACTGTGGGACGTGAAGACCGGTCCTTCGGATGAAGACAGTATAAACCGATCGAGGTCTCGTATCCAAGTAGGAGTTGACAAGCAAAAGGTCTCACACTCCTCAATGGCAATGAATACCGAGTACATGTATAAATTTGCAGCACTCCATCGGCAAGTGGCGGCGTCTCGAGCTCCATATTGATCAGTGAAAAATTCTCAAAAGGGATGTTAAACAACAAACAAACAAAACTCTAATGTCCCTCCAAGGCTTTTTTCTTATTTTTTTCTAAACATTTTTATACACATAATAAAAAGTGATATCATTCTTACCTTATTACATGTATTTTGTTTGACGAATAAATCAGCATCATTGTTGTTCTTTCGACAGTTTTGTGTTAATATGTGTATCCGTGACTTAAGTTTCAGATTTGTATACTAATATATAAGTATACTTATCATTGATAATACAGTAGGTTATATATGAATCATAAGTCAAAATTTATGATACAACAAGTAATGTCAATGGCTGCAAATCTACAAGCTAAGGCAGCATACATACACGGATCCAAACTTCTTATGAGGGAAAAAAGTCACATATATTACGTATTTAAGTATATAATTGGTAAAACATCCCTTCTGGAAATACTAGTAGATTGTTTTATGCACATTCTGTCATTTATTGTTAAAAGAAAATTGTGTTCTTCCAAATTGCAATACAAACTTTACCGTATTTATCTTCCCGGTTACGATAAAATGCAAAGGTGTGCCTGCTAAATCCTTTGAAAGTTTTATCAGAGTGATTTACCGATAGTTCAATTCAAAGGCAGGAGTCCAAAAATAGTCTTTGGGAATTTAAAATTTACACAAAAGGTCAAAGTTTGTTGGTGAGGAAGATCAAGGGGAATATATTTTTATGGAACACACTGTGAAAACTGGGAAAAAATTTCAGATAGGTATAAAATTATTTCAGTTTACTTCAATTATTTAACTAATCATCAGTTTGATTATACTTTTTTCCATTGTTTATCTTACAAGGTAAAACGCTATCAATTACTCGTCCTCGTAGTTAAATTAAATGAACATTGTTTTAATAATGCTAGTAAATCTTTTATTTCAGGTGCAATTTTGACCGGAATAATTTTCATCCTTCTCTACATTACTGTAAAAATTCCCGACTTCCATCACCAAATATTTAAAGGTAGACAATTACCTCAGCCGTCTCCAAAGTACCAAGCAAGTCTTAACTCTAACAAAAGTGATGTTGCAAGTGGAACCGGAAGTAACAGTAAAATTCTCAGGTCTAACAAGAGCGATGATTTGCGCAGAACCGGAAGTAATGGTGGATTTCTCTGTGGTTCTGTTAAGGGAAATTTAGGAAACCGGCTATTTGTGTTCGCATCAATATATGGCATTGCCAAAATGAAGAACATAACTTATTTCATCCCAAAGCATGACAGCCTGTATAGTGTATTCAACCTGTTCAATGATTCTAGTTTAATCATTTCAAAGGATTCCCGAAAGTGCAAAGGGACATTTTTCCGCAAAGAAAGAATATGCTGTGGTTATGATCCTAAGTTACTAAACTTTGAGGCTAATGCAGGATATACATTAATTACTTATTTACAGTCCTGGAAGTATTTTGAAGGAGCAAAGAAGAACTTGAGGAAGCAATTGATTTTTAAAACAGACATCCAACTCTGGGTAAATCACACATTAGAAAAAATATCCAAAGAGCAGAATTACTCAGAATATGATGACGTCACATTTATCGGTGTTCACGTGAGGCGTGGGGATATGATGACCAGTGTGTCTGCGTATGGCTATCAAGTCGCCACACCGGAATATTTACACAGAGCTATAAACAGATTTATACACTTACCAAATGTAATTTATATCGTTTGCTCACTAGAAATCCAGTGGGTCAAAAAACAATTTCAAAACATCACAAACGTTTATTATAGTGACCCAAGACATGGAGCTCATAAAGACTTGGCGCTATTGGCTGCTTGTGATCACGTGATAACGACTGTGGGGACCTTTGGTTGGTGGGGTGCGTGGCTCTCGGGCGGTAATGTGACCTACTTTAAGTGGCCTGCAAAACCAGGATCTGGCCTAAGAAAACAGTTCAGCAAGGATTACACGGATTTCTTCCCCCCAGAATGGACTGGCATTTGAATGTATATAGAGGCGTGGACTGGCATTTGATTGTTATAGAAGATCCATGACATTTCATTTGAAAATTCTTGTCGTCATTATCCGAATAGATATTATTTTAAAATGAGTGTTGTTTCAAAAATTTGTTTTGAATTAGAATAGAAGGTCTACATGTTTTCATAAATGGACATTTAGAAATGGTATGAAACTATCAAAATAAATTCCATGTCGATGTCCTTTTGGTCGCCCGTGTGGTGCAGTGATTACAGCGTCTGCAATAGAGTCGCAAAGTAAGGAGTTGATCCTTACGTCGCAGGGTCGAATCCCACCGTGGGACGTGGAGACCGGTCCTTCGGATGAGACCGTATAAACCGAGGTCCTGTATCATAGTAGGTGCAGGCACGAAAAAGATCCGTCACTGCTCAATGGCCCTAAGTGCCGAGCATAAAACAAAATGTGCAGCTCTGCACGGCGAGTGATGGCGTCTCCATGAGTGAAAAATACTCGAGAGGTACATACAATCAATCATCGATGTCCTTTTGTATCGGGAACACCACTTACTTAATTCCTTTATTCAAAATTTATACCAAAGGCAAGCTTTTAAGCTTCAAACCGTGTGCCCTTGACCTTGTCCAAATGACTTGATTTAGGACTAGGGCCTGCCTCCTAATAATATCATTTACATATATTTGAATCTAGTATATCATCTTTTGACTCCCCATTACATGTCGAAATGTCCTTGGCCTGTATAAAATTTTAAGGACATACAAATCTTTAGGTTGTATGTCACTTTTGTGTACCAAGTGTATTGTTCAATTAATCAAGTTCAGTGTTTCCGTTAACGCATATTTCTGCGTATTTTACGCATAAAAATTACTTTTTACCCCCAAAAACGTCACCTAGAGGGTCATCATGACGCAGAAAAAAAATATAAAAACAAGTTTTAAAAATCCAGTTCAATATTGATGTTTTCATAGAAAAAGATATTTTATATGTTTAATTTACATTCTGGACAACTTTCTAGGAATTAATCATTCCTTTTAGTTTAATTTCAAAATGGCAGTGATTGAAATCGGCATTTCCACGTCAACAATCTATTAAATGTTCTTTTGTACGACCTATCTAATTCTTAACAAACCCGGAAGTGTAGACAAATATGGCGCTTCAGCATGTTCAGTCTTACATCGGCATATTTATGTCAGCTTGGCTTTGTCAAAAAGACTAATTATGGTAATGAAAAGGTGAGGAAAGTTCCAATCTTTAATAAACAGTCTTGTAAAGCAATCAAACACTTTCAATTGTTATCTTTTGATTGAGGTATTCACGAAACCCTAATGGTGTAATCGGTAAAATGTAACTGTGTACCGGTAAAATAAAAGAAGTATACATGTACCAATTATATTTTACTTTCATTTTTTTGAATTTTTAAACATCAAATATACGATCTTAGAAGGCAGAGCTAATGTTAAAACCGAAAGCAAAACCAGAATATATTTTGACCCTCCAAAAATTATTTTTACCCCCAAAAGTTTATATCAAAGGGTCATAATGACCCTTGATTTTAAAAATTGACAGAAACACTGTAAGTTATATAAAAGAGTAAACTTGCAGACAACTGAATAATTGTCCGATCCTTTGAAATGAGAAGCATGAAACAGTAGCAAAAACATTGTTAATTTCTATTGTTTCTTTTTCTCCATCGAAAATCAATAAAGAATATCACAAATAACAAAGATGTAACAGGAAATATATACAAAATACAAGTATCTCATGGTTATCTCGTTCAACGAGAAGCAAATCTACTGTATATACAGTGAAATGAGAATACATTGCTTTAACTTTAAAGCATAATAAAAGAAAGCATCGATAAAATAAAGATATCGAATCGAGCACCATGCAGAAAATACACCGATATAACACATGCATTGGACACAGATTTTAGGAGCTTGAAGTCCTCTGTGCGTTTGATATGTCCATTTCTGTATATGGTGGAGGCGGTGATAAAATGCGGTCCTCGGAAAGTTCTCGGACGACAGTTATCTGCGGTCGATAACCCGGAAGTGTAGGGGGTGGTTCGTTTAGAGGTCGATGGTGTCTATTAGTCGAAGAATCCAGTGGTGCATTATTTCGGAAGAATTCGGCACTATTGTTTATAACAAGATCCTCCTAGATAAATAAACATTTAACTTTGAAGTACAGTTCAAAATTTTCGCTAATATTATACAATTATTGCTGTTTTTGAGGTCAATACAATGATTTAGCCATCTGAGGAGTATGATATTCACCGAGCCCGAAGGGCGAGGTGAATATTGTACTTCGAAGATGGCTAAATCATTGTATTGACTGAAAAAACAGCAATAATTGTTTTATTTTATGATTCACTGATAAAATGATACAGCTCATTACTTTTTTGCATTTAATTAAGTCCTAGTTAAATACAAGAGAGAAGCAAGCAGAATTAAAATGTGAATAGACCTTACCAGTCCTATCTATTTGAAATGCATGTTTTTTTTTATCAATTTTAGTTGCCATGAAAAAAATATATAATATCAGTCTTTTATATATACGATAGATTTTGAGTATATCTGGGAAAACTGACTGCCAAAAAAATGTTGTTCAGTAAAAGTGTTGGAGAGGGGGGGGGGGCTGCATCCCCTGTTACCACCCTCACCCTAAGATATATATTTGCTTATGTTTTGCTGACATGAAAAAAAAATCATAGTCATATAAATAGCTTTCCAAAACAATTTGTATCAATTTGGAATTTCCCAATCTATTTTTAGATCAATGGGGAGGAAATAAATCCTTGTATTGACCTGGAACGTCACGTTCAGGTCAATACAACGTAGTATTTTTCTAACATAGTTGGATCTCAGCCAATCAGAGAGTTGGAAATTATTCAATCATATAATAAATTAAATTATTGCGATATTTTATCTTTCAAGTATATAAAGTTTCGAAAATGAACACCTTATCAGTGATATCAAAACTTTAAGTTTGTTTGAGTTCGAAGTTTTAAATACAGATAGTTACAATGAATAAATACAGACTCGCAAATAAAAATAGTCCTTATAAAAACAGTGTATAGTGTATGTGTATCTTAAATTATGATATACTTACTGTGTGAAGACGAATCTGATTTCTGGAGATTTCACTTCCGGGTCGAGACTGAACATTAATGGTAGTGGCGTATGCATGAGCTGCAAAATATAAAATCTATAAGTACGACACCTATTTTATCTGCATGTTTGCGGCACTTTCATTCGGGAAGCATGGCATTTTGGCGATGTCACAGTATATGTGTGTACTTGCAGTAATTCCAGCACTTACCGACAAGTACTTTGCCTCTTTGTTGATGTGGCAGTATTTGTAAGTACTTACAGTAATTCGAGTACTTACCGACCGTTTTTATCGAGGCACTTCGGCGATGTAGCAGCATTTGTGTGTTTTTTGGTTATTTATTTGGTACTTACCAATATATATATCACATATACTATAGCTTGTTGATGTGGCTTCAATGTCATTTTGTGTCATTTATTTATTTATGCGGTAGTTTGTACTCATCGACAGGTACTATGGCTTTTTGGCGATGTTGCAATTTGACCTTTTAGCGGTTACTTTGGTACTCTTCTAAGGGTACTATGGCTCATTGGTGATGCTGCGGTTTAACAGGCAACCACTTTTTTTCCCAACATAACTTTTACTATTGAAAATGTTCATTGAAAGACAGGTTAGCCTCCCCCAGTTAATACTACGGTAAAGTAATATAAGGGGAATGCAGTACTGTATACGTATGCCAAAAAATCGGTACTGAAAGAAGTCGGCGTCTAAAAAAGTTGGCCTTTAATTAACCCCCACACGAAATAGGTTTTTCGAGTTTAGGCAATGTTTTTTTTTTTTGCTCGTCAACTTTTCCAGGTAAGTTAAAAATTTTATTTGTCTAGCTGCCACCCCCCCCCCCCCCCACTTCCAAAAACGATGCTACGTGCCTGACAGGTACTACATGTATGACTCTTTGGCGATGTTGCGGTTTGACCGTTTTTGCATTTTTTTTTTTGGTGTTTACCGAAAAGTACCATGGATCTTTGGCGATGTTGCGGTTTGACAGTTATGTTGGTACTTACCGACAGGTACTATGGCTCTTTGGCGGTGTTGCCGTTTGACCGTTTAGCGGCTATTTTGATATACTCACCGACAGGTTCTATGGCTCTGTGGCAATGTTGCGGTTTGACCTTTTTTGCGGTTATTTTGGTACTTACCGACAGGTACTATGGCTCTTTGGCGATGTTGCGGTTTGACCGTTTTGCAGCAACCATTAGCTTGGCAGCATATGTAGGTTATGGTAATTAATACAATGAAGCCAAATATCCCCCCGACTACAGCTCCAGCAATCCAGCTATCAGAACTAAAATAATACAACGGTGGCTATTATTCCTCTGCATTCGAAGATTCAGGGGTACATAGTTTTTACCCCGGTGTATCCTTCCGTCTGTCTGTTTGTCTGCAAAAACTTGCCCATTATTTTTGATTGTTTAGAGCTATGACTTTTACATTTCCTGAATTCCTGTATATTTCCAGTTAAAGGTGCTTAAACACAGATTTAAAGTGAATATTTTCTCAAATTTTCAGTATAGTATCACGACTCTTATATTGCAACAGCATCTCACTCGAAAATATAATAAAAATCTTTTTTCATGTCGAAGTTATTGAAACTTCGAATTTCTGGACGGATTTGATTGACACATCCTTGAATTTTAATGAAAAATATTAAAACTTTAATCCAGAAAAATAATTTTATCTCATACGTGTGGATGATACTACCCGTGAGTTAAACCTAATTCTTTATCCACGGGTAGGTGCTTTATCAATAGCACTTCCGGTTTTGATACGATCCATCCTTGTCGCTTCAAATTTAATATCAATACATTGATATGTAAGAATTCTTGCCTTCTAAAATAAATGATGATGAGCAAGAATTTTGTTACAAGCAGGAAAAGGACTCGTATACTTCAAAGAAGTGTCAAGTTTTAACAAGGTATCTGTATCGGTTACTGCAGACGGATGTTAACCAACCATGGCAACCAACCAACCCAACCCCCGCGAATTTTTTTTTTTTTAGAGAAACGTAGGGCCTAGCAGTTAAGTGTTAGTTCAAAATTCCTTTCACACTTTCAAAAACGCTTTCTTACATATTATACATGTATTATGTATGCCTTATAGTTATGTATGTGTAACTTACCATAGATCGATAATTATAGACACAGAGACTTTAAGGACCGGTTCGTGGCGAGAAATATTCGCGATGACGAGGCTCTCGCAAACCTCGCCAAAGTTTCTGGCACGCGAATAAAAGTTGGTTTACAATATCCTTGGTCCTGTTTTAATTTACTTACTTATTCACTTATTTGTTTTATAATTAATCTACTAACAAGAATTAATAAGTATTTTTGCTTGAAAGGGTGCTCATAAAGGGAAAACAATTTTATTAATTTTGCATAAACTTTAAGTATTGTATTAAATTGCAGTTTTAATAAAGCTCTTTAATTAAAAGAACATAAAATAATAACTTAACGAAGCAGATGAAATCAATATTGAATTCTTTAACTGACAATTCTAATTTCAGCCAAATGATAGATGACTATTAGGTATATAACTCGGTCATAGTATGGAATGAAGATACATTAGATGACATTCAAAAATCGACCCGTTTAATTTTTCATATTTGAAAGACTGAGTAAATAGTTCAAAGAAATGAAGTCACGATTGAAATGTTTAAATTCTGAATAGATCTTTCAAGAATTTATAATGTTGAGGATACTCGAGTACACGTATTGCTCAATCTGACTTTAAATTTGTGTGAACATTCTCGAAAAACTTCAATTTTTCACAAGAGAATGTTTAAAAGGCTATTCCCAAATTGGAATGCTAAATCAAATTCTTAAAGATAAATCAACGAAGACGTGTTAATTATTTGAATATATCATAAATTCTAATTATTTATAATTAGCATGCACTTTAATTAAATTGATGAGAGTCATTATTGTTTTGACTCTGGGATTGATTGAATCATTGAAATGAATAAACGAGAACAGGAATGGATTTGATGCGTGAGAACAGCAATGGATTTGATGCATGCATCAAATTCAATTTTTTAACTCATCAAAGTGGTGGAATTATTGCCCACAAATTAAATTATAGCTCATAATAAAAACATATAATACTTGCTTTCTTCCTTTATATCGATCAGATTAAATATTTGTGAAGAGCAACAATTAAAAAACGTGAACTGTGCCGTAAATTCAGTAAATTAATTATCCAATCAACGCTTGCAATATACATGTATTAACCTATCAATACCTGCACTTTATACTGTAAATGTATTTTTTGGAGTGTACGAGAAATGGCGAAATTTAATTTTTCAACAAGTTAGCGTAGATCTGATTTAGTGCTACTTGAATGTGCTAGATATAAATGTATGATAAAGAAAACATTTAGCGATGTATTTGATTTAGTGGACTCTGCTTTCCGCCAAAATAGCTAAATAGAATACACCGCTAAATATAGTATGTTTACAGTATTTGAAACCTGTCCTAATCCGACATGCTGTGGAAGACTTTTGTGTCGGAAAGCGATAGATAGGGTGTTGGATTACACTGTATCAAAAACTATGACAATAGACTATAAAGGTCGGAATTCACAGTAAAACGGATTCCACGGGTGTTGGATTATACGGGTTTTACTATATGTACATTAAGGCTACCAAAAAAGTCTTGGCCCATCGAAATTCCTCACCTTTCTTCCTTGTAACGATACGCATAGTAAAGTTGATGGTATCTCGAGCTCAGACAATCCTCAACTAGAAAATAAATATGACATATATATCAAAACATGTTAGTACAATATGACAAGTCATACAAATAAGTAAATAGAGTTGTTGAAGTAATGGGCGCTGGAATTAATTGTAATGACCTCCTTTTGACAAATAACTTTAAGAATTCTCTCGTAGGAGGCAATCACAGTTTGGTTGGGATGGGGAGGGGGGGGGGTATATGCACAATCAAACGTATTTAGTTTGGAGGGCACTACCACAATTCTACAATTACATGACAAGCAAAAAATATATAAAATGTCATCAAACACTATTAGGGGGCATAAGCAAATAGTAGATATGATTTTATACTATTCTAGTTAAGTAGATATGATTTTATACTATTCTATATATCAGTCGAAATTACTGAAAGGAGACACGTGCCCCCCCCCCCCCCTTCCCACTCGATCCGTTCCTACACCCATGATCTCCCAAATTTTTATGGAAATCCTAGTTATGTGGGATAATTTTCGCTATATTGATAGCGAGCGTGCTTTTTCAGAAAAAAAAAATCGGTTAAATTTTTACAGTTTTTCTTCCGTTGAGATAAGTTAGGCTGCTTCGAGACATTATAAAAACCTGGGGGGGGGGGGCGTTAAACGGGCAGAACGTTAGGGAACTGCTACTACCCTTGGATTTGAGATCTCTAAATTTTAAAATATCGAAACATTGCATGATTGACAAGAAAATGCCTTTAACGAGATACTGTATAAAGAATATTGACTTTTAATATATAATAATTGAGTGAGATTACCTTTGCGTGTGAATTTCATGTTTGCAATTTTTTTTTTCTGTGCATTTTTGTGTTTTTTTTTTTTGGGGGGGGGGGGGGGGTCATTTCAGTGGTAATTTTGATACCGAGATATTGCAGATGTGTTTATATATGTACCGGTACAACCCCTACTGTTTTTCATGACAATGATTTTGTTGTACATATAGATTTTATAAGATTCCCGACCATATTGAACATTTTAATGGCATTTCATCAATGTAAAATATGAATTAATTAAACTGAAAGTAAAATGCTCAAGTAACAAGTTTACTCTCGCGCCAGTTTTTTTTTTTTTTTTTTGGTTACAAATTATTTCCACCTTGTCATCGTGTGCGATAAATATATAATCAAACTATAGCTATATTCAGTTAATTGCAGCTTAAGATTAACTTACTTAAACACTAAATTTTAAACATTTAATTACTAATCTTAAGTAAGACAGTAGTTTGCCAGTATGCACATGTCATTTATGTACATAGATATAAATAATCCTGTGTTTAAAGTACGGTCTTAACCACAGAAACGTGTAAACGGTGTATGTTTAACATTGATTATTCGAGTTCACTGGCTTAGTAATAAAACACAAGAAGAAATTTCGGTCACAAAGTGGATCGATAGATTTTATTTTTTTTTTTTTAGCTATAACGATTGATAAGTTAGTTTATACATTTCATATGTTTACCCACGTCCCCTGTTAAACTGTGCGTAGAAGATAAGTCAAAATTAATTTTCACCATTTTTTTGGCGGGGGTGGGGAAGGGGTTACCAAATTATTGTTTTAAAAGTATAATTGATATACATTATCTGCCCTAAAAAATTCTATCACAAAAGCTGGCTCATTATATCACAGTGTATAAAAATTTTATTTTATTTTTTTTAAAAAAGACCTAAAGTTCTTACATCTTGTCTTTTTTCTGTTTAATTTCTATTCTGTACATCAATATATGGGTTTTCGTTGATTCATTTTCGTATTAAACCGTAATAATGTACCATTTTCAGATTAATTGTACTGGTAATTAAACAAAACAGGATTTCGACATGATCATTCATCACATTTTATGGTTAAAATCTTATATTTACGTTTACGTTCAACCACTCACCTGAAAAAAGCAGAATTATTCCAAATACTGAAAAACACTCAATCAGTAGGTCCATATTTTAAGAAAAATTTAAATCCGTACACAACACAGTGAAGTCTTTAAGCATGGTCTACCCTTCTGCCTTCGTCACGTTTAAATTTCTCCTATAGATTTAATTTTACGTACTATAGTCTTTAATGATATATCCTATACATATCATTTTCCCAATCAAGGAAAAGGTCTTTAAACGCAATTGGCTTATTATTAGCAATTGAATTATTATTATTAGCACTTTACTTTCAACGAAAATGCATGTTTTTGTGTCTTATAAAAATTGCAGGTATAATCATGTAGATCACTTTAAAAGTACCAAAACACGGTACACTATTTCGGAAAAGGTCTTAAAAAGACACTGGCGGATTTAGAACCCCCGAACCCCCTTTGTGTCAAAAATATACATGAGATTTATTATATCAATTCATTTTGGTGTGGCTGTGGGCATCTAACCCCGACCTCGATCTGATTGAACCCCCCTTTTCAAGATTCCTGGATCCGACACTGTAAGAGGGACACTATAATACACAGGAAGGTATGTTGTATTCGGTGTCTTCTAGCTATTCCCACTTTTTAAATATCTCAATTCCACCTATTCCCACTTGCAAATAACAATAGATGTTTAGATTTACCTGTATTTTGTACATTTAAAGACAGAAAATAATGAATACATCTATGAGAAAATATGATTTATTTTGGATTTTTGAAATAATAAAAAGATCTTACAAGAAATAGCAACTTAATACCTAAATTTAAGAATATAGTTAATTATTTGTTTACACAAAATTCCACCTACTCCCACGTGAAATTTCACCTTTTCCTACCTGATTTTCAGAAAGTGGGAATAGCTTGCATAAACCGTTGTATTCTATTCTCGAGAGTTAGAGACACACCAGAGAGAGAGAGAGAGAGAGAGAGAGAGAGTTAACAACCTATAGCTATGCTAGAATTCGGAAGAAGTTCCCGTGAAGTAACTTATCGCTGGTGTCGCCATTTTCTTATGGATTTTGTCTTTTTACGAATGCATATGGAAATGGTAATTATCACATGGGCATTACAACCTATAAACAGGTCCATGCAATACACTTTCCTTAAACTGTTAATCTTTCAAAACACATTTAAATAAAGGATGAATTTTTTTGAACAATTAAAATTTATCAATTTCACTCAGTCCCTAGTCATAATTTCTGTGTACGTATTATTATATTAATCAGAAACAGGGATCCAATGCCAAGAAAAAGTACATGTAGAACAAGAGGTGTCCATAAGCCACATGGCTCACATGAGTGCACTGGCTGGGAGAAAGCAGTGAAAAGATTACAGGGGCAAACTTGAACCATATTTTCACTATTTTTCTGAATCATCTCCCCTTGAAAGATGGTTTGGCTATTCATTTGAACAAATTTGAATCCTATTCACTCAAGGGTGCTTTTTGGCAGGTTTGGCTGAAATTGCCCCCCTGGTTCAGGAGAAGTTGAAAATGTGAAAAGTTTTAAGACAGACTATAAAGCTCACTTGAGCTTTCAGCCAAGGTGAACTAAAATGGTAAACAACTCACATTTAAAATGAAGTACCTGAAACTACACAGGCTGCAAATTTATCAATTCACTTCTTCGGAACATTTTTTTTGGGGTGGGGGTGGGGGGGTTCTGATAAAATCTGACACTTGAAAAATAGTAGCCAGTATTGAAAGAAGAGACAGTGAAGACTTTAAATAAAATTAATTACATTTATTGACATGCAAATGTACAACTCAATGTCTATCATGATCCTCAATATTTCTTAAATAATAAAAAATAACATTTTGACAAACACCACAACAAAAGTGAAGTTATCTTCACCATTACCTTAAAAAGAACATGTAAAATACCTACATGTACAAACAATTGTAGCACCTGATTATTTTTAACACTGTTCTGCCCTTAACACTGTCATTTATCTAATAGAAATTCTGAAATGTGTCCATGTAACCAAATAAAGAATGCCAATCTCTTACATTTAATATCATTTTGTTTTCATTAGTATAGTAATAATACAGAATTCACCATAAAAAAAAAATGGTACAGCTGTATACATATTAGTCAATATATTTTTACCCATGGTTTTTAATAATAAGTTACCTTCAGAATTTTTAAACCATATACTACAGTATCTTTTTACATATATTTTTTCATGCCTTAAAGTCCAGATATATATAATTCTCAAATACATGTATCTAAGCCAACACTCATCATAAGAGTTCAAACAGAGCATCATCGCTGATATCGTCGTCATCGTCGCTGTATCCCTCACTCTGGGAAAACATGTCATCATTCTCATCTTCATTTCCGTCATTGTCATCGTCGTCATCATCTGTAAAGAAATCTGATGCCACATCAGAGAAAGGTTTCATTCTTAAGTAGTTACAATTTACAAAGCATAAAACAAGAATTTCAAGAGATTTTTTGTGTTGAATGGAGAGTACCCGGTAATTAGAGGTTTTATAAAAAGGGTATTTTCTAGTACTTCTTGAATACTGTTTTGCTTTTGCTCATTTCCATAAAAGGCAAATCATTTTCAACATTTTTAATTTTTCTTTTAGAAAACTTTATCATTTTCTTTTAAAAATTTTTTTTTTTACATATTTTCTTTTCAGTTTTAATGTTCATGTAGCTGCTAGTCAATTTTATCAATGTATCTACACACTCCCAGCTAGCTGCAAATACTGAACTCATTGTTAGAACTTGTGCATCAAAATAATCATTGTTACCTTCATCATTAGAGTCATTGAAATCAATCAAATGAGAATCATCATCATCATCATCGTCTTCGTCTACATCTTCCAGATCCTCCTCTTCATCCTCAGGCTGAAGTTAAAACAAAATAATTTTTTTCAAAACTGAATGCCGACAGTTTATAGTTTATGGAAATTATATTTTTAAAAAAATCAACAGATCTGATTTGATGAGGTATTTTTTTCAGAAAAATAAGTTAAAGACCCCCCCCCCCCCCAAAAAAAACCTGAACATTCACTGATTATTTTCGTCTGTTAGCGAAAGTCACGTGGTTTTCCTGGCTATCATGATTATTACACAACTACAGTTTATTTGCCTTTAATATCTTTAAAACATGATCTGTTCCCAACAGTCCCACAATTTCTCGGGCTATCATGGTTGGTACATGACAACAGTTTATTTGCCTCTAATATCTTTACAATGCAATCTGTTAGCTAGAGTCCTACTGTAATATTTTTATAACGCGATCTGTTTGCGACAGTTCTGCTGTTTTCCCGGCTATTACGTACCTGGTTGTCCTCTTCGTCTCGGAGTTTTCCAACCTCATACAGCTTACATACAAACTCCTCTGTACCCAGATCTGTGTTCAGGTTCTGTCAAATCAAAATGGAGCTTTCTAGATCTACACTCAATTTATAAAATATGATTTTTAATATGATGTTTTTAATATGATGATACTGTGTTTTAGCTATTTTTTAAAATGACGTTAGATATGTGAGAATACCTCTAAATTCTCGGTCTAAAAAAGTCATTTAATCATTGTATATTTATAATGATTTTCCTTTTTCTCACCAAATAAAGGTCCAAGGTTAAAGGTCACTTACCTCTACCACTGCTAGGTAACAATCAGATTTGTCAGTACACAAGTCTAAGATACTTTTTGACTTCACGTCTATTGTAGCTGAAATTATTCAAAATAATTTTCATAAATCACATTACTTTGTTTAATAGAGGAATGACGGTACTAATATTCTATTGACAGCATCATGAGAATGTTTGTACCTATGGAACTATAGTCAGTGGAATCAAATGTTCTGAAGGTTGAGCTGTATGGACTTCTGACTTTAAAATCATCCATTTCTTCATCCATTACATAAATAGCTGAAAAAAATACGATAAAAGTAAACAAATCAAACTTACTTGGAAATTTTGATAGAATGGAATATGGAATAAAGAAAAATTGTGCCATCAAATCATAAATTTTACAGTATGAAGAATAAGGATATATAAATGAATAATATATCATATGGTCCTTTTTTTTAGCATGTATCCTAATGCCCTGTTCACACGACGAGTTTAATTCGCAGTAAATTAATGCGAAGTAAACTAATGCGAATCAATCTAACACGAATTAAATTGCGTTCACACGACAGCTAATGCGAAGTAAACTAATGGGAATTAAAATTATTCTTCTACGGTCAGGCGTAAGTACGGCTATTATGACGTCATTTGCAAATCATGTCACCTTATGCAGAGCAGATGCATTTGACATAATGATACAGTGTCTGTACACACATTTTAGCGATTAACACAATTTTCCTTAGTTTTTCACTCAAAAATAGCACAAATACTTCAATTTGACCACGGACGTGTGGCATTTGACCTAATTTTGCCATTACGCATGCCTCAAAATTTAATTCGAATTAGCTTCGTTTAGCGTTCACACGGAGCTAATGCGAAGTAATGTGTGATGCGCAGTAATCTAATTTCGAATTAAACTAATTCGCATTAAATTCTCCGTGTGAACGCTAAGCGAAGCTAATTTGCAGTAACTTTACGTTTAATTCGAATTAAACTCTCCGTGTGAACAGGGCACAAATTAAAAAAACTTCTCCTTATTTTGAAATGTTATAGAGTCCATTTGTAATCATTCATAATTTTCACTGAGTAAATGTACTTAAATATTTAGGGTATTTTCTCCAATTTTAAAACTTGCTCTAGAAAAATAAAACTCCCTGGCTTAAAATATCAAAACTATTCAAGGAAGATACCCACCATATATGACATCTCCTAGATTGTTGAAGCGAATCTGACATTGGTTCAGGGCGGGGACTGTGTGAAGCAGATGATAATTCCTGATGTCCCACTGTCAGGCAGTTAAAGATAAATATCACATGGTTCTGACTGTATCAAATCTACTTGTTCAAGACAACTGACCAATCATAAATGAATGCATTTTTAACAACAATAAAAAGGTGCATTTTTCTCCATTTCGAGTTTTTCATAATACATGTATGTAGAGGATATTCAATGCTTTGTAGTTGAATATGGAATTTATTTCATGAGTGGGACAGAATTTTTTGATATGCGAAGCACGAGTGAAAATATAAAAAAAATCCTGTCTCACGAGCGAAATAAATTCCATATTTAACTACAAAGCATTGAATTTTCTGTTTATGACATTTTCTTTGATTTTCCCTTTGCCTTTTTGTCTTTCTATATATACAATCATAGGCTATGACGTCATAGTTGAGCGGTTGATACGAGATTGAAAACATTGTAAACATGGACTTTAGCAACATATTTGGGGGAACTTTGGCAGTCTTATTCTCTGTCATTATGGTTTATTTACTCACTCTATATATTGTAACAGTCCAAGGAATATTTTTTCAATGCTCTTTCATATGGAAGGTAAATCGAGTTTTATCGCACTTCTGATATTTGTCACACCGTGACAGGACATCATTTTGATATCCTTTCACACTGTGACAGGATATCACTTTTATTAAATGGATATATCTTGTACAGTATTTCACAGTTGAAAATGTAATATATAATAAATATTTTTATTTTTATAGTGGTAAGAAGTGATGGACCAAGTGGGGGGAGGGGGGCTTCTAGATTTTCATGATAGATGAATACAGACATTATTCCACACATTCAGTTTAATTAAAAAAAGAAAGAGTATATCATGCATCATTTTAAGAGAGAATGTTTAACTCTGATGAAAATGAGCTGTGTTAAGTCAGTCAAAATAATACATGGGGTCAGATTTTATTTTCGTAGATGTGGATTTCAAAATTTATGCCAGTTCTTCGGGGAAAAAAATGCACTGGTTTAATATGTTGTTTAAAATTCTTTCAATCCTTAATTTGAGAGAAAGGATACAACTTCTGAGTTGATAATAATCTCCAACCCCATTGGATGAAACACACCACTGATGTTGGCGTTGAACTTGTCGAACTTATGGATGGATTTTCCGCTGCGCACATCCCACAAAACCCCGTCATTGAGAACCAGTTCATCTGTAGGGTTAAACGTGGCTCGATTCTTAAGGTAGTTATTAGCTTTGTTTGGATCATACAGTTTGAGAATTCTTTGGCCCGTTGAGACATCGTAGATCTATAAAACAATAAATTATTGGTACAAGAACAAGCCTGCAGTGTAATGAATATATACTGTACCATTATCAAAACCCAGGAAGCCAGTAAGTAAAATACATGTCAGCAACTGAATTTATAATTTTCGAATTTTCAGTGTCAATGGACTTACATGTAACCTCTTAGACTCTTCTATAAGAAGATAACTTATAATTGATTTATCACCTTCTTCAAAATTCCCCCCCCCCATTTCATTCATGCAATCTTCATTTTCCATTAATAAACATTTTTTTCATAATTACAGAAAAAATCCCTTTAGAAATGTAAGGATCTTGCTTCTTTGAAATGTTTTGATAGGATCTACATGTACTCACATTTGCTGTTTCATCTTTCGTCCCAATGATTCGGTCTTGGACCTGTTTGCTAAACTCAATATGGCTGTCCTCAAAGCTGTATCTATTGAACAGAAAAAAAATTTTGTCATGACTTAGCTATCATCTACTAGCAGCTTTTGAAGTACTTTTTCATAGACGTTAACGTAGGTATAGTACATACTTGTTATCTACAACATCGCCATACGTCCACACCCCAGATCCGTTGTCCTCGTAACTGATCAGTAGCAAATCTGAGTCCTAATGAAATTGTAAAGACTCTTTTGATTACACTACCAACATGCATCATAGCAGTAAATCAATGTTATGGTTTTTATTCATTATTAAATTTTCAAAACCCCTTACTCTTGCTTGCTGAAAATCCTCTATTGCAACCTGATGGAAATTATAACTGGCTGTTTCCTATATCAAAATATCAAAAATATATATATATGTATATATATATATATATATATATATATATATATATATATATATATATATTATATGTATATAAAACATATAAATCTAAATCAAAAAAAAAATTTTTTTCCCTTTCTTTTTTTTTTTTGGTAAATTTACAAAAAATTCATCTAGAACTCATTTTTTAAAATTAAATAAAATGTTTAATATGGCGACATAAAACATTAAGGAGACAGTTCATACCTCCCCAGACTGTAAACTGACTAGTTTGATGTCTCCCCAAAACGTCCCATACATCAAGTACTGCTCATCTCTCTGCATGTACATAAAATACACATATTATCAGAACTTCGCTTATTTTTACATGTACATTAAAAGAAAATATGAAATGATTTTGGGCAAATTTTTAAAACAAGACTTTGTCATTTGGCTTCCTTACGGTTAAAATTAAACTTTAAATATTTTCTCCTCAGTTTTTCCTAGAAGTAACAATTTTACTTACAGAAAAAGAACAACACAGCATTCCCCCATCATCCACATTTCTATAAGACTGACAGGGCCTGAACCTGGCAATGTAACAAAGTAAAAAAAATTAATGGCTAGCCCTGCTGACAACTATGGTTTAAAAGTTAGTGTCGACCCCTGATTATGGTCCATTTTTGATGTATCACAATCTCAGCCCCCCTCCCGACCCCCCTCCTTACCGACTGTAGATGAACTTTCTATCCACACTGGGTCCTCCTATTCCTCCCACCTTGGGCCCCAACTGCAAGATTGTATTTATTGTATTTATAAAAAGATTGTATTTATTGTATTTATAAAAAGATTGTATTTACTGTATTTATAAACCAATCAAATTCAGATATTTACAATTCCAGCTTGTTTTGCCAAGCATTAGACATCTGTGTAACTTTAGAATATTTGCTTGTTAATGTGATCAGCTGGTTTTATTTATCATATTACATGTATGTGATTTACCATTCTGTTATAAATCCTAGATGTACAATTAATAGGTGCCATTCTTCTACCTCTGGGCTCAGGACATCTGTGAGGTCTGAAAAAAATCAGTAAACTGATAAATATTAAATACTATTGCTGATTCTTACCATAATTACATATCTGAAAAATATTTAAAATAAGAAAGTTCTTAACAAAAAATTTCAATACACTTTTCATTCATTAAGATTTTACCTGTCCTTACCTTTTTTATAAGTCTAATTAGGTACTACTAGTATATTAATAACCAGTTTTATAATCTGTATACAGACTTACTGAAACAGAGACATAGGTGGACAGGTGGTGACAGGGTTTCGACACAGAGCATGTTGTTTACGTAAATACTCTGTCACAATCTTATCCAAGGTCATGTCGTATTCTCCTTGACCTTTCAGATGACCTTTTGTCCTCCAGGCCGGACTAGATAGAATGCAATCTTTCTCTGAACTAAATCTACTCTTGCTATTTGAAGCCTGCAAAAAACAAGTCACATATAGAATAACGACCATTTGACTATCTTAAATACTCATATTGCTCCATTAAATTTTAATAGCATTTACAGTCCTGAAGCATGCATGAAGTTTAAGAAATATACTACTTTATAATCACTCATAATACTTCCTATTCATGTGCCCCTGTGTGATTTTGAGGAAAAATAACTTGCAGCATGCCAACAAAGGATTTGAAGATTTATGATTTCTTCACAACAATCCCCCTTCAAGTCATTTCTGATTTCTTTCTTCTTTCTATATGCACCAAAACATTCTTCTGACAAATTCTCCATTATCTTGAATCATTCAACAGTACATAAACCTCATATCTTTCTTTCTTATGAATGACTAGCATCTAATACCGAGCCTTTTATAGTTTCTATTGCTATAGATCAACACCCACCCTAACTTGTCCCAGGCCTGGTGAGGCCTGCGGGTGTTGTCGACTGAGATGAAATCTGATTGGTCCAGGTGTGCCGGGGGTGGAACCTGAGTTAGTAGGACTGTCCCTCTGACTGCTAGAGTTACTATGGAGACCAGAACTTGTAGAAGGGACATCAGACGTGAGGGTGGCGTGTGAAGCTAACGGGTGACTCATCTGTCTGGACTGTAAAGAAAACTTTGCTTCATTCATGTACTTAGAGCAATTTTTACAGGTGACAAACTTAATAATTAAAGCAAACAATTTTTTGTAGTACAAGAAGAATTTCCATATATCAAAACAAATTTACCACAACAAACCTGCCTTGAAATTTTATTGTAGCAAAAAAAGAATAAAAATGAAAATCAAAAAATAACAAAATTACACATCAACATGTTGAACTTACAATTCTGGGAGATGCAAAATGGGGAGAAGCAAACACACATGGCTGTACTGGGAGGACATTAGGGGGCGTGGCACAGTGAGGTAGATTGGCTTCTTTCTGTAAAGCTGCTGCTGCCTCAGTCAATCCTACAAAATCAGAGGTATCAGGTAACAACAGATAAATCTTCAAAATGAATCTTCTCTTGGATGATGCTTTTAAATGTTTCAAAAACAGGATTGCAATAAACATACATGTACTATACATGGTTATAACAATTTGCAAATGCTTGCTCTGAAAGGTATTCAGGTAAAGTGGCCAAATACACAACAGTCATGGCTAAATGAGCATTAGTTACATGTAATCTGAACATGGTAAAATTTTATTTGTTCTTCGAGATGCTGCCATAGAGACCTTAGGATCTGTGGAACATTTCAACAGAATGCTGGTTACCTTCAGATTGCAGGTGACTGTATATTAATTGAAGCAATTCCTTTTCTTGGAAATTTATTCTTGTTTGAGCAACAATGTCAGCCTGAAATATTACAGTCAAAATTATTAAAAATCAATGTTTTTGTTTGAATGTTGGATTCCACAGACCAAGCAAGACAAACTAAAATGTAATTCTACAACATAATTTGTGAAAAAAGTGTACAATTTCCTTTTCCAAAACATCCAATAACATGGATTTTGAACTCCAAATCCTCAATCTAAAATATCTTAATAATCCAATCATCCTTTCAAATAAGGCACTGTTGTTTATAAAAAATTCAAAAAAAATCTTTGAACAAAAAAATGGAGTTACCCTTCTAATTTCCTCCAGTGAAGCATCCAAATGAGCGCTGGACTTCTTTCCCACCACCCTCTCTAACAACTCATTGGCGTATTTACAGAACTTGATGTGTTCCTGTTGTTTGTCATGCAGAACCGGTTCTTTCATAAGTACTAAAAGACAAATGAGAAACATTAAAATGTCCATATATATGAAGTCTATCTCCACAAACACTGAAGATAAACGTGTTTATGAAGCTTATCTATCACTGCCAAGAGAATACCAATACATGTATATAATATAATATACAGACACCTTAACAGACCAATTTTCTATTTTCATCAAATTTTAAAACATTAGTCTTCAAGATTTTGTCAAAATTAAACTGTTACCATTGTCACACCTTACCCTCAAACACTACAGCTGTTTGACACTATGAACACTGAAAAAACTTGCACTTGCAAAAAATCATTAGAATTTCCAAGTGAATCTGAGTGGTGACTTACACTGTAACTGTCCATTGTTGAAGAGAGGGAGTTTACTGATAATCTGTCTGACAGTCTCTGATCGCGATAAACCAACCAAAGCCTAGAAAGCAGGAAGAATTCTTTAATCGTGCATATTTTTATCTTATAATTGTGTGGTTATTCAACTTCTTAATCATTTTAAGGTTCATTAATCAATCAAAATAAATTGTACAGATAAAAAGAAAATCCAGTATATTGCATTACTGACACATTTAACCTACCTTGCAAGCCAATGCCCTAATGCAGTCAGCATCCGTTATGGGTGTTTTGATGGACAACAGTTTCAGGAGTACCTTTAAAAATTAAACCAGAAGTCTCTGTCGAGACTGAAGCTCTACTGGTTTGTACTCATAGCAAAGGAAGAGAAAAGTACTTCAGCAGTTGGGAATTGAAACTTAACAACAGCAATAAATAGAATAATGATCCTTGATAAAGTCTCTTTATGTTCTTAGTGTAGTCTACAAGTTTGCGAAGTTATATTGAAATCAGACCAAAACTGTAGGAGGAAGCATTTTAAGTTGATCATTTTAAGGAATTTCACAGAAATTTCTATTTTTATTACCACGGCAAAACCGTTTATTTAAATCAAAAGCTGATAAACAGAATTATGTATCTTATATAGTCTACTTGTGTGCCAAGTTATATTGAAATCAGACCAAAACTGTAGGAGGAGTAGCATTTTCAAAGAATTTCACAGAAATGTGTATTTTTAGTAACCACGGCAACAACTTTCATCGAAATCAAAAACCGATACACAGAATTATGTATCTTAGTGTTGTTTACTTGTGTGCAAAGTTAAATTGAAATCAGACCAAAACTGTAGGAGGAGTAGCATTTTAAAGGAATTTCACAGAAATTTCTATTTTTAGTTACCATTGCAACACCATTTATTAAAATCAAAAACCAATACACAGAATTATGTATCTTAGTGTAGTCTACTTGTGTGCCAAGTTATATTGAAATCAGATCAAAACTGTAGGAGGAGTAGCATTTTGAAAGAATTTCACAGAAATTTCTATTTTTATTAACCACGGCAACAACGTTCATCGAAATCAAAAACCGATACACAGAATTATGTATCTTAGTGTAGTCTACTTGTGTGCCAAGTTATATTGAAATCAGACCAAAACTGTAGGAGGAGTAGCATTTTAAAGAAATTTCACAGATATTTCTATTTTTAGTTACCACGGCAACACCGTTTATCAAAATCAAAAACCGATACACAGAATTATGTATCTTAGTGTAGTCTACTTGTGTGCCAAGTTATATTGAAATCAGATCAAAACTGTAAAAGGAGTAGCATTTTGAAAAATTGTTTACAGACTTTCACGGACAGACGGACGGAAAGCTCGGACGCAATTTTCGCATAATGCTTTCTGGTCTCTGACCAGTAGAGCTAAAAAAACATACTTTGCAAAAGAAACCTGCTTTTACTAATCACACCGCTAGAAAAACTACTTCCCGTTTGATTTTTACCAATAGGTGACCTTGTCCTACTTACCATGATACCATTGTTGATCCTGACCCCATTCCACATCTTACTGAGAATGTCTTCTCCTACTTTTAAGTTGATCCTTTTCTTTGACCCAGTCCCTATATACCTCCCTAGACCTCCTCCCAGCTACAATGTCAAGGTCATATTTAGCTATATATACTCACTTCTGTTTCTACATGTTGGAGATAAAAAAAGTCCAGTTATTAATCCTTTATATAATAATAGTCAAGAAGCTGATTTTGAAGAGGGATTCCATCTTCAAAGTTTGCAAACGTTATCACATCACTTGCTGCCATTCAACTAAATCCCCTTCCTCTGTATTTTTTCTCTTTCTTTGGTTCTTATTTTTTTAATTTATCCATCAAATCAATTTTCCCATTATGATACACTTCATCCAGTTTTTCCTCCCATTTCTACCCCCCCCCCCCCCCATTACTTGTTAAACCCAGCTCCAAACAGGTGCATTGAAGGAGAACACCACAACCAAACTCTTTGATACCTTTTCTACTGGGCCACACACACAATTGATGATGACACTCAGGGCTGATTTCTGAACCTCTGGGTCTTGTATAACTTCTCCCTCCGCTAGTCCTATTAGCACACTGTTGTACCACAAAAAAATACAGCAATTATTAATATGCATAACACACAAGTAGCCAAAAAACTTTACAAAATACAGCTTGTAATCATATGTTGTGGACTGTATCAAAATGCTAGATGACAAGAAAACATTGTATGTGTTGGATTTACATACTTATTTTCTACATTTTATAGCACAATTACTTTTCACACTTAAAGTCTAATATCAGGAGCAAGTCATGGAGATACATTACATTCAACATGCATTTAGTAATCAATTCAATATAATTCTTTGAGCAATTAATTTTAAAAGTACATTTCACAGAATCAATGTCTCTTAGCAGAAAGTGTTGCCAAACAAAACCCAAACAATTATCTATCTATGTAGTATAGAAGAATTCCACTGAGTTTGTAATTAACATGTTCCACTTTGTATTATAACAAATATTTTACTGACCTAACAGCTGGTGTAGACAGGTTATCATAGAGTGGTACTGACTCCAGCAGAGCAAGCTGAGATCGGGGGGTGGACACCAATACATTGATCACATCCAGGACGTTCTTTATCATTTCTGATCTGAAATACCAAAAGTGTCAGATTTAGAATCTAGGAAGAAAGATACAGTGACTTAAAAAGGGCATGTGCGTACATCAAAAGGCCCAACTTCTGTAAACATTGAAGATCCTAAGTGTTATTCGTGAAACCATGTGACAGATTTTCCATTTTTTTCCCTCGATTCTTTTTAAACTTTATATTTATGAAATGTTCATGTATCATAAAAATTAACAACCCTAAATGTAAAATTAAGTTTAAAATTATAACACATTTTACTTACAGGTAAACTTCGTTATCTCGACATCGACGGGACGGTCGGAAAATGTCGAGATATCCGAGTTAAGACTCGACGTCCTTAATTTTTTTTGCATAGTAAAACTATAGATCTAAACTGAACAGACGTGTAATTTACAGGTATCTACTTGTCTTCAAATAGACTCTAGCTCGTTTGTTTCAGCTATCCCTCTATATTTATTAGAAAATATAATAAGTTATAAGTTATATATTTCCATCCAGCATTCGATCCGCGTGCCACTAGCTCTGTCAAAACAGGATACGAAATGCGCTCTATAAACTCCAAACCGGAAGGGTATAAAAAGTCGACTTCCGAGATACGGAAAAAAATTAATGCGTATATTTTTAAAATTATTTCATTTCACTTCTTATTTATTTAATAATCATTCATCATTAATTTTCATTTCATTTTCATCCCAAAATTTAATTGGAAATGCGCATTTAACAAACTTCATGATGTTTCATATTGCAATTACGCTGATGCAATAGTCGTGCATGACATTGTTTTGATCGATTCCTGATGAATGCATTTTCAAAATTTTTAAGATAATTGAATTCAATGCGTATATTGTTCATTGTTATTCAGTTACCTTTTTTTTTTAAATGTTTAAGTTTTGTTAAATTTCGACATAAAAAAAGGTACATTTACGCAGAATTGAGACAGATTTATCAACTGAATGATATTACCCAAGCTGAACATTAAACAATTAACGTAAACAGAGCAGTTGTAGTCAAAACATTGTGAAAGGTGTGAAACGACGTCGAGATATACACGGAGTCGTCCGTGCGTGACGAGCGACCAGCTGACAAACAATTAGGTTATAGAAAAAATTAACATATACCAGGTAAATTTTGCTACTGTGAAATACGTCGAGATAAGCGGGGTTCGACATTACCGAGGTCGACATATCAGAGTTTTTGCAAATCATTTATATAGTAAATAATGCCGGGACCGGGCATGGACGTCGACATATCCCAGGTTGTCGACATATCCGATGTCGAGATACCGAAGTTTACCTGTATTTACAAATGTTAATAATCACATTTTTCTATTTTAAATTTGACAGATGTTCTAATACACGGATTAAAAGTTTGAAGTTCAATGGTAAAAGACCCAAAATCAGACAGAAGCCTCTGCGTACTTTCCTGTGAAGCTGTTCCAGTTTGGCGCCAGTGCAATAAGCTGACAGAGCAGTTTGATCCCGCCCAGTTTGTGGCACGTGATTTCCGGGGTCCAATGAATTCGTACTGGCATCAACTCCATCATGATTTCCACATTTTCCTGAACTATTTCTGGTGTTAGTTTCAAAGCCTAATAAATATTCCAAAATCATATCTTTTAAAAACTTAAAGTTAACAGAGAAAATTATTAAAAGAAAGGGAAATTTTTTATGGTTTTTATGCAAAAAATTTTCTATCCTGATGCTAAAAAAAGATTTTTAGAAGCATTAATCAGAGTCTTTTAAATACTCTCTTCTTACAAAATTTATAATTCACAAGCAGAAATACACATGTACAGATGTAAATTCACAATCCGTCAAATGTTTTTACAAATTAATTCAGGAAAATGACCTAAAAACTTCCAAATTTATTTATTCGTAATTTCTTTACACTCTTAACTTCTCGGACCAATCAAATGTCACCTTATACGCAGGCACTTCATGAACCGGCGAGCCGCTGTCATCACTGCGAGCATGAGATCGCTTGATCTCCTCCACTTTGTGAGATAAATGAGCCTCAAAATATTTCTTCAGAGCGAGCGAGGCGTGGCGAGTGAGCTGCCGCATCGTAAACAGCTGATCGTCACTAACGTCCCGTCGTTCATCGACATCCATAATCTGTAGAGTGCTGATCTATTTATAGATAAAGAGTAAAATACATTTCCATCTCAGTGTAAACATTACCCCTCATTTCTTGTCATAATTCTTAAGGAAAGCAAATATCTTATAAATAATTTATTCTAGACCTTAATTACACTTGGTTAAATAAAAGAAAACTGATGTGTATTATTCAAAAAAATTGTCCATTGATGTAAACTAAATAAAATTAGTTTGAAGACTTACCACATTGAATAACCTGCGAAGACCATCCTTTTGATCAAACAAATTTAGGATCACTCTGTAGGGAAAGGCTTGTCCAAAAAACATTGCAGCATGACATCTACTAGAATCATGGGAACACTCCAGTAGCCACAATGTGTAGCTGTAGAAAGATATACATGTAAAGATATTTACTGTGCCAGTCCATTCTTATTTATCCTAACAGAACAGGAATAAGTCTTAATATAGTTTATTCACATATAATCTCCCAGGAATAAACAATATAAAGATTTCAGCTTGACGTCCATACTTAAAATAAATTTGTATTAAATAAAAGTTAAGTTTCATTGAAAAGTGAACCGTTTTTTTCAGAATTTCAAAAATATTTACCTAACTAATTCAGCTAGGGTCTCATCTGGTAACTGACAAACCTAAAATTTAAAAACATAATTAAAATTGTAATTTGTTAAAAATGTTACTTGGAAACACTTTTAATAATCTTATTGGGGATTAATACGCAGCTAGGATAAGGCTGCCCGTAAAATATCAAACTGTTTAAACTGTATAGTTACTTCTCTGAACTACCTAGATATGACGTCATAATAGAATATGACGTCAAGTCACTGCATACTTGAGCTGACATGACGGGGAAAATGTCATAATTATTACACGGCATGTAGATTTATTATGGGGATTTGTGTTTAATTTAAGAGTAAGGGTTGTTTTTTAAGCTTGTGTGTGCTGTTATAATGTTAAACATTTGATATCTAAATGTCTCTATTCCTTTTGCTTGTCCGATATGCATATATTCAAGCAATAGCAAAAGATTATAAAAGATTATGTTTGAAATGCTCCCCTTACACTTCCGTAGACAGAGTTAGAATTTATGAATCGTGTTTATATTGGACTAGCACAAGTGAAAGACAAGGATAAATTGAAGATAATCTGCGTGAATCTAAAAGAGAATTATGTCTTCTAACTGAATTTTGTTGGGGGATCGTATGTAGTTTATCCGTTTTTGTATAAATCGCGATAAAGTGTGGAAAATACCCCTCTTTACGTTGGTAATTTTAATTTATCGTAAAATATTTTCTTACGAAGTAAAAATGGAACCTGCCCCCAGCACTTTTTATGTACCAGGGATGACGATGAATTGATCTATGTAGCAAACTTTGCACAATATTTTCGTTTTGCACTTGTGCCGAAGCGATTTTTGTGCAACATTTAAGAATATCAAAAATGTCCGTCACGTGATCAACACAGTCATCTTACATCACAGAAATGCTTTATTATTATACCTGATTTAACTGTTATCTCAAGTTGACTGCAATTTCAAACAAGGATCACATATTGAAATTAAAATCAAGCTCAAAATAAAATGTATATTTTTAAGACATTTATAGCCTTCGGACAGCCTTATCATAACTGCGTATTCTTTCCTTATTGTAGTATGAAAACCCCCACAAATCTACTTCTTCATTTCATACATATCACAAGGCAACAGTTTTTCAATAACGAAATCAAAACTTAACATTTTTTTCCCTTCAAACCATCAAAAACTGACCCCATGAAAATATGATTTCACAGTATTCAATAATTTAAGAACAGTCCTGCCCTTTTTGAGAAGGCCTGGCTATTTATAACATTTCTTACCCTCTCCATGGCGTCCTCAAAGTAAGAGAGATAGTAGATACAGAGCGACACCCCACAAGCCGCCACTGAGGGGCGGGGCACCTGGAGGGTCCTTTGGACACCCTGCATGGTCAGGAACTCAATGGCAAACTTCTTGTGACACAGCAGGTTTGCAGTGTACTGAAAAAAAATATAGCTTTAATATCAAAACAGGACCATTGTGGGATCTATGAAAAAGATTTTGTCCTAAAACCTTCATCATTTTGCCAAAAAAAATAAAATATAAATCGCTTAAAATTGCATTTACAGCAGTATTAAAATTCCTTACCCTGAGTGCTTCAAATGCCAGTCTGATGTCTGAATTCTTTCTGAGATCCATGTAGAAGAACACCAGATCCATGGCATTATGTTCAAAGGCAGCACCAATTAACTGCAAGTCACAACGATGTTCAATATATGGTACTTAAACAAAACAGGTTTTCTATGATATATTGCATCATTAATTTTTCTAGTTAAGATTTCTAAATACACTGAATATATGAAAAACATGCAAAGAACATGAGTTGGTTGAAAGAGGGGGGGGGGGGTTTCAAATTTTCAGAAAACCAGTTTCTACCTCTAACCCTAACCCTGTAAAATTTCAGAAAACCCCGTTTCTACCTCTTGGTACTCTGCCATTGGTCTGAGATACTGTAGAATGACTCGCTGTTTCATGGCGGTACTGAGGGGCTGCAGGCTGTATGTCCCTATCACGTAACACTTCATCTCCGCCCAGCTACTGTTGCTGTACTCAGCTGGAACAAAACCGGTCAAGTATGAAGCATACATACGTACATACTGAATGAAAGAATGATTCTAATAGGAAAAGCTTCTTGTTTTCTTTTAAATGGTTTGTGTACATCTAGATTTTAGAGTAACTACATGTATGTCTCTTCCTCTTCCATTTACCCATCAACTGTTCAAGAAATATGATCAATGTTTATTACCAAAAAAAAAAAAAAATTTAAGCTTAATATAATCAACACATAGTAATTACTTATTGAATCATCTCTAATGCGGCTTTTCTTTTTAAATCTGTACAGGTCATCGCTATAGTAACTGGGTGAAAGTGCACGCTTCATTGACTCTCGTCTGTCATTTTTTCCTGAGTTGTCCCCCTTTGAGCTGCCTTTTACTGGTGAGCTCGTTTCCTGCGAGTTTTCCGCTCCACTCTCCTGAGAACTTTCTGATGAGATTTTCTTTTCCGGGGACCTTTCAGTCTCCTTGGCAAAAACTCCGAAATGTCTCTGGTTATCGTCCACTGCGGTGTTTTCTTCATTCTCCTTCTCGTAGTCACACTTCAGCTTATGTAAACGTGTCAGCAACATGGGGACCTAAAATATAACATAATTTTTCTATTGATTGATTCCTTTTTTTTCTTTACAGACCAAGTACAAGGTATGAATCATTTTGTCTGACAGATACTGTAAAATATTTTGCTATTATCAGAACAAAGTACATTTAAAAACAACTCTTATTTCTGAGACTTCAATCAGATAATTCTGAGAGGAAATCATTAATTTGTACTCAACTATATATTTCATGATTTTCGATTGGTCTTTAAAAAGTTGCTTCACACTACTTTATTTTCAAACAACAAAGATAATTAACAAACTCCAAGCAACTTTTATAATACATAAAGATACTTAATTCTTTTAAACATACTTTAATTTCCATTCATGCATGTATATACAGAGCATTTTACATGGTAAAATCAACCCATTTCACATGTCTCTAAGCATTAACTTGAAAATTTGAAAATGATGGAAAGAAGACAAAGAATTAAAATCAACTCAAGATACAACAGGCATACAAGTTATATATTTGGTATGACCTACCAGATGGGAATTGGAGTCTTTGAACTTGTCTGCTACATCATTGAGTTCCATGGCCCCTGCCAATAGCCCTGTGGCATAAGACCTCAATGGATCCTCACAGACCTCTGCCCAGTGAAACAATCGTCTAACTAAGCCATCCTAGTCAACAGTAAAAAGTAGGCAATTCAAGATCATAAAAATTAATACTAACTGAAACGATGTTTCCTTCTTATAAGTATTTTAACCAGAAGTCTCTGTCGAGACTGTAGCTCTACAGGTTTGTATTTATAATAACGGAAGAGAAAAGTATCAGTTGGGACTTAAAACTTTACAAAAGCAATAAATAAGACTACAACTGTAGTACTAGCTTTTAATAAATTTTTACAGAATTTTCAATTTAAATTACTATGGCAACATCAATCATCAAAATCAAAAACACAAAACTGCTAATTATGTATCTCAGTGTAGTCTACTTGCATGCAACATTATATTATAATCAGACTCAAAATGTATTTGGAGTAGCATTTTGAATGTTTTTCACAGAAATTTCTATTTTTAGTAACCATGTCAACGTCGTTCATTGAAATCCAAAACAGATATACAGAATTATGTATCTCAGTGTAGTCTACTTGTGTGCCAAGTTATATTGAAATCAGACTTAAACTGTAGGAGGAGTAGCATTTTGAATGTTTTTCACAGAAATTTCAATTTTTAGTAACCACAGCAACAACGTTCATCGAAATCAAAAACCAATGAACAGAATTATGTATCTTAGTGTAGTCTAGTTGTGTGCCCAGTTATACTGAAATCAGACTTAAACTGTAGGAGGAGTAGCATTTTGAATGAATTTTTTTTTAAAAATCTATTTTTAGTAACATGACAACACCGTTCATCGAAATCACAAACCGATAAACAGAATTATGTATCTTAGTGTAGTCTACTTGTGTGCCCAGTTATATTGAAATCGGACCAAAACTGTAGGAGGAGTAGCATTTTGAATGTTTTTCACAGAAATTTCTATTTTTAGTAACCACGGCAACACCGTTCATCGAAATCAAAGTCTGTATTTGTCAGTTTTTTCCCAGGGGAATGTATCCAGCCAGTCAAGCACTCAGCAGGACTCTCACACCACTTTTTGGGACTGGGGCCGGGGCCGTTCAAATTGGGAAAATTGTCGTCATTTTGGGAAAAGTTGGATAACCAAAATTCATTTTTAAAAATCCTCAAATTTTGCTTTTCTAGCATTTTGTCATCAGTTTAACTCATTTTGAATAAACAGTTAAACAGAACAAACATGGGTATGTAGGCTAATATGAAAGTACATTAGCTTTGTCATTACTATCTTTGAGTGTTGATATTGCGGTTATATGTCTTTCTGAGTGACAGTCGCTAGTCACATAATCCCGAAATTCCTTGATCACATGGACAACTTTGCTTACCAATACAGCGCGAGACTGAAGATGCTGAAACATGGGTATGTTTCTAGGTGCAGCTTACTAATGTTTAATTGAAATGTCTATTTTTGAAACCAAATGATGTTTTTTGTCGAAACTACATGACAAGATACTCTGCACTCATAGTTAGTACACATTTTTGTAAAAACAATTACCTGGTTCCCTGAACCAGTTTACAAATGCATTTGGCGCGAACTAATAAAATAGTAGTACAGTTTCACTTTCATTTGCAAGTGTGTTTTGTTCGGGGATTTTTTTGCGATTAAGTTTCATGGACTTTTATTTTTTAATTAATATTTTGCTATGGAAATTGGGAAATTTACACCTTTCTTTTCGGAAAAAAGGTACCTTTTTTGCATTGGGAATGGGGCCGAATATCGGCCCCAGATTTAGAGAATCGAGAGCCCTGAGCTGAGACGTGAAAGGCTTGAAATAGTGCTATAAACAATGCCTACACATATGCTTCATGTGGCTAAGTTTGGTTTGAATGTCATTTGCCATAAACTGTTTTCACTGATCTGACAAACATGACTGCATTCTTGCAATTAAAGTATTCATGAAGACAAGCAGACAGAAAGACAGACAAAGAGACTGATTCCTAAACACCTTAAATCGACAACTTCAGAAGAGGAGCTGTTTATTAAAAACACAGAATGTCCTATAGAGAATCTTACAGTTTCTTGGAATACTGTGGTGGTCTCTAGTCCTGGCATGACATCTAACAACAGACGAGACGCCGCGATGTGTAGATCAGTCTGGTCTCTGTTGCTACTGATCAAGTACGTACTGATCAACTGAAAACATACAGTAAACATTGTCAGAAAAGTATGTCCTGATCAACTGAAAACATAGTTAACATACAGTAAATATTGTCAGACCTGTGAATAATTAACATTAAATTGTGAAAATGCAAAAATTTCAAACAAATTTCAACAAGTATCAGAGTATGAAGTATAAAGATAAATGATCAAAAGGGCGAAAACTCTCATCTCTGAAGGTCGATAAACAACTGTCACTCTACTAGAAAGTTAAACAAGTAGTGTACTAGTGTAGATCACTATATTTTCTCAACACCTTAATTATAATTTCATGAGATATCTATTTGGATTTTATAAACAAAATTTCCATGAGTTATGGTTTTTGTTAAACATAATCCTTACCAATACAAATATACATGAGAATGAAATTTTCATGAAAGACAGACTCACGTAATTACTGTAAATCACTTTTTATCCGCGAGAACTTTATTTCCCCGTAATTATGCGAGACAATGCATTCGCGAAAATTTAATTCTCGTGTATAAAAGTATTCCATAGGATTATATAGAGCAATAACAACTATTCGTGAAAATTATGTCTCGCTTACAAAGAGTCAATAGCAATCTCGCGAAAATAAGGTGTCGCGAAAATTTAGTGATCTACAGTACGCAAAAAAAAGTTCTCATGAATAAAAAGGGATTTACAGAACTCTTAAAGTACCTTGCTCATGAAGTCTTCGTTTTTGAACAGTGTTTTCATGAGATGACCCAGGGCACAGGTCGGGACGGCACGCCCGGGATGTCGGTCATCAAACGGGTCAGGGTCCATCTTATAATATTCCTCCGTTTCCTTCTCCAGGAGCTCGGCCATTCTACAATGTCAGAAATAGCCACTGTATATCTTAGCAATATTTAGTAATACGCACGAAATGAAAAAAGTACATGAAATTACATGAAACATTTCCTTAGAAAGATTAAAATTGAATCCCCACTCAATTTTTTTTCAAAAAATAATTCTTTATCTAAAATCCAAATATTGCACATAAAATTACAGGATCCTTGTTATTTTTTTTTGTACTCAGCTATATATTATTCATTTCTAAGATCAAAGGCATGCTGAAGATATTCTTCTCAGATAAATCAAAAGATTTTAAGGTTAGAGACACCTATCAAAACTGTACAGCTGAAATAAATACAGTCGAACCTCCATATACTGAACACGGATATATCGACTACCATGGATATGTCTAACCACATATTTTTGAAGTACTGTAAACCAGCTTTTATTTGCATGCGAGAAATATTCGCTAGTTTCGCGCCCAACTTAGACACGCAAATATTAATCGCTGCGAACCAATTATTTTGCTTAGTATTTGTGAGGAACGTTTCCTCTGTAGCGAAAATTAATCATCACAGATTGATTTCAAACGGACAAATTGCAAATTAAAGATGACGCGAATAATAGTTGGTTTACAGTAATTTACTTTTGATATCTCAAACACTTGGATATCTCAAATTTTTTACTTGGTCCCATCAAGTTTGAGGTAACAAGGTTTGACTGTATGACTTTAAAATGCAAAACTTTGTAGAATGCTTTAAACAGCTGAAAAATTTATGGGGGTTTTTAGTCTAAATTTATCAATCAGTATGTGGAAAACTTACCAGACATCATAGACCTGACAAAGTGGAATTTTTTTTAAGCATAAAATTACCTGTGCAATGAGTTGGTAACACTGAATGAGCTACTGCTTTGATTCTGAGTCCACTCTTCCAACAAACTGTTTAGTTGTGCAAGCGAGTCCAATGCAGCCATATCTTTAAAATACAAGACAAAAAAACAATCACTTTACACTACCCATAGTTTTTATCTACTGAGTCTTATATACATGTATTGTCTCCTCAACATACTTGCCAACCTCTGACATGTAAAATCTGGTCATGACCAGATTTGGAAATAAAAAATCTGGTCATAACGCGTAACAACATTCACAACATATTTACCAATAATAATAAATATATATAAGTATTTGTGTATTGAGAATTCTTTTTATTTAAAAAGGCTTTAACTTACTAAGACGAAAAATTAATACATGTTCAATTGTTGATTAAATTTAGAAGTTAAAAAGGGCATTGAAGGTTTCATTATATAGTACTGACCGGAATTAAGTGTGCATTTTATCTTAAAAGAAAGCTTTTTCAGTTTAATTTGTGCTAAATTTGGAAGTATTCCAGTTTTGGTTTTGTGGGGATTCTTTCTATCTCTTATTTAATTTAATTAACAAGTGCAATAATATATGTTTAAGATGTACAGGTAGGTATACACTATCTTCGATCACTGTATTTTATAGTATGAAAGTTGTTTTCCAAGATTCCTTAATTGATATCGTACATAAATATCGCTTCTCTTTTTTTGGTTCGATTTGTTCCTGCTGACCCTGATAATGATCTACTTCTGTGGAAGCCATTTTTAATTGACTTCAAACTTTGATTTGTCAAAACAACTCCCAGTTAATTGTTTACACAGGTCTTCACTCATAATTAATTGGTAAACGGCCCACTGAGCATAGCCATCGGCATTGTTCGTTTACCATGTTTACGTAGATCTAAGCTTGGGTTGTAACTGGAAGTTAGAAGTGCAATCTAATTTACAAACTAAATCCGGAAATCGGGAGATTTTTGGCAAAAATTGGGTGAAAAGCATGACCCGCCGGGTCATAAAAAATAATCGGGTTAAGGGTCGAAAAATCGGGTGTAACCCGACGAAATCGGGTGAGTTGGCAACTATGCTCCTCAAGATTTTTTTTGCAATGATTTTCTCTCAATACAGTGAGTCACTATGGCAGTTTTAAACAGGTCCAGTACAATTGCTAGATTAGCTAAGTAGGTAGAATTACCTACATAGCTTTATTTACCTACCTCAGGTAGCTTTATTTAGCTATTTCAATGCAACTTTGAACAATTTTTCTTTTTATTCAAAAAATACAAAAAATTGCAAGTAAATGACTATAAATATTTATACTGGGGAGGTTTTAAAAAAAAATCCAAAGCAGACAGAGTTTATTCATTACTGCGTTTGAACAATTTAGAGCAAAACGTAATTCCATTGTTTGGGTAATTGTACCCTATCTTATGTGCGGTGAGACATGAATGAGTACGATTACTTCAAATTGTGCTGAATAATTACCGATCTATTATCATGTTAACCAGAACTGGACTTCTTTGTTGTTTCATTCAAGAAGTAACTATTTCAACTACCCTATACAGCCCCAAAACTTTCAATACTTTGATTGCAATTGCGCAGAAAAAGACACTTCTTCAAGAGTGATTTTTTCATGAATTGATTTCAGACGAGTTCAAAGTTGAAATCGATCACTGCATCAAAATGAGATTTTCTGCACATCCTAAGAAAAATGCTTTCTTCAGAAATAAGACTGATTTGGGTCAGGTCCAGCACAATACCCTGATAAAGGTATTATAGCTTGCTAAAGCTGAATAACTTGATCAAGGTATTACAAAAGCCTTGATCAAGGTATTTTGTGTAATGAAAATACAAAAAATTATAAAAAAAAAAAAAATAAATAAATAAATACTCAAAGTTGAGTTCTGAGTTGTTGTTAGTACATTCACTCATGCATGTAAAATACTCAGGTATCAAAAAGACAGCATAATCATTTTTTCCATTCGTTAAATTTCAAGTTTAAATAGGTCCGAAAACATCGCAAGCACTGTAATTTTCCTAAAGTTAAAACTCCAATTTATACAAAGCATTGAAAGCACTGTTATTTGAGTACATTATGGTAAAATCAATTTATTCAAAACATAAACTGAAACCAAAACTAACCTGTATCTGTCAATTGCACAATGGACACTCCGAGAGATGCAATGTTTCAAAAAATGTCTTGTAAAAGAGGAACGTTATGATAGAAAGGACTTTAAATATCAAATGGTTTACTCAAGAATCCTACACTTTAAGGTAGAAATCAGCACATATTAAAAAATTTCTCCATTTCCCGCAATCCACCATGCTGTTTTCAAACAAAATATTATGTAAAGCTAGCATACCTAGTATTTTCGTACTTTTTATTTTATCAAATAACTCATACCACTACTTATTCGAGACTCATAGTGTAACAAGATTAGCTACCGATCGTTGTACTTTGTTAACCTTTAAAAAACATCTCTTAAGGTATGTCACTCGTCAGCTTTTTAGAAAAGTTTACACAGCAGCCTTTACTTCAAAACTACTTATTAAAATTCGATTTTTATAACATATTTAAATTCAACAATGTAAATTTTTTAAGGTAAGTCACTCCTCAAATTTCTTATATCAAGGATTTTTTGAGAAGTATATTTTGGATAAGTACTCATAAAGTGTGATTCAAAATCGCAGAGAAAATAGGGGGTCAGTGTGCATCGTACTGATGTATGGTACATTTAAGTTGACCTATTTGCACTTAAATTTTAACCCCTTAGTTTATTACTTTTATACAATTATCTCTTATTATATTTTTTCAGCTGTAACCATGGCAACAAATTTATTCTTACTTTACGTAAAATAGTTTTAATAATATTTATCATTGATCAAATCTTGCAAATTAATGCGCGTAAATAATTATGTGACCTTTTTGCACTAAAATATATATATTTTATTATATAACATATTTTGGGTATTAGAAAAATAAATAAGAAATATAATATTTTCTTATATCAAGCTTTGTATGACTTAAGTGCTGATCAGTCATAAGTATCGAGAAGTTTAAAATAATGAAAGAAAAAGTTGGGGCCAGTGATGTTAATTTTGAAATATTGGACAAAATATGTGATTTTCAGACAAAAAATGGTGTAAAATTTATCTTGACTTCTTTGATATATCTCCAGTTTTTGGCAAAGTTTGTTGAAGGAAGATCTAAAACTTATTCTAAAAATTTAAATTAAGACCTATATCAAATATTCCTATCAATATCATAACCGAAAATATTCTCCGAGTAAAAGTATGTGAGGCTAAAGTTTCAAGACGTTAAATTTAATAAATGTGCAGATTTGCAGAAATTTCTGCTATATATCCTTCCACCACGAAAAATAGTACGTAATAAATCTTGCTTCTTTGAAGATTTTTGAGCAGTTTTTTCTTTGATTGTTAAAAAATATTCGTTTTTGAATATAATTATTTTATAAAAATTGAATTTTAAAAAATATTTTTGAAGTTAGAGGTTCTGCGTGAACTTTTCTAAAAAGCTGACGAGTGACTTACCTTAACATTCAACGAAAAAACTGCTCAAAAATCTACAAAGAAGCAAGATTTATGAGGGACTATTTCTTTTAGTGGAAGGATATTTAGCAGAAAATTCTGCAAATCTGCACATTTATAAAATTTAATGTAATGGAAATTTAGCCTCACATAATTTTACTTGGAGAATATTTTCCGCTTTGATAATGCTAAAAATATTTAATATAGGTCTCAATTTATATTTTTAGAACAAGTTTTACACCTTCTCTCAACAAAGTTTTCCAAAAAATGAAAAAATATTAAAGAAGTCAAGATCAAATTTACACCATGTTTTGCCTGAAAATCACATTTTTTGACAAAAATTTCAAAATTAACATCACTGACCCCACCTTTTTCTTTCATTATTTTAAACTACTCGATACTTGTGACTGATCAGCACTTACGTCGTAAAAAGTTTGATATAAGAAAATTTTTTATTGCCTATTGAGTTTTTTAATACCCCAAATATGTTATTTTTTAGTGCAAAAAGGTCACACAATAATTTACGCGCATTAATTTGCAAGATTTGTTTAATGATATATTATTCAAACTATTTTACGTAAAATAACATTATATTTATTGCCATGCTTACATCTGATAAAATATAATAAGGGATAAAGTAATTAACCAAAGAGATGAAATTTAAGTGCAAAAAGGTCAATTTAAATGTACCGTAGATCAGTAGGATGCACACTGACCCCCTATTTTCTTTGCGATTTTGAGTTACACTTTATGAGTACTTATCTAAAATATACTTCTCAAAAAATCTCAAAAAAATTTTGCCTGTTAATTCCTACCCCCCCCCCCCACTCTGTGAATTTTATAGAAATTACATATTCTTGATATATTTATGCCATTTTCAAATATAAACATGTACATATGAAGTTGTCAGACATGAGGAATGAAAAAAATAATTTAAAAAAAACATTGAAGGAGAGAGGGGGGTGTATAGGAACAATTAATCAACACGATCAAGTCCTCGCGAGTTCCTGCATGACATGTATGTGTACCTATATAGCAGAAACTTAAAATTATTATCTTATCAACTAGAAATTGGGGTATACATATATGCTTTATCTTATTTCAAAAATAGAGGTAAATGCAAATAATTAATCATGTTATACTGAAATCTTGCCACATTTATCTCCATCAAGTAAATAATTTCTCTTTCACACGGAAAAACCCTGAATTTTAAAGGTACTTGGACACAGATTTGAAGTTAATATTTTCTGTATAATATCACGAATTATAAATTTTAATACATTTCACACAAAAATTTATTAAGATATTTTAACCAAACTTCATTTGCTGATACATGTAGTATTGTTTATTTCTATTAAACTGCATGTTCAAAAATATTTTCATCAAACTCCATGCAATTAATGAAAGTGTTATATTCGATTTTCATGTTTCATTAGTTACAAACACTGGACAGTGTATTCATGGATAGCTTTTTAAAGGTATACTTGGACACAGATTTGAAGTTATTTTTTTCTCTATAATATCACGACTTATTTATTTTAAAGGTACTTGGACACAGATATGAAGTCAATATTTTCTCTATAATATTACGACATGTATATTTTAATAGCATTTCACACAAAAATTAATTCAAAATCTTATCTCATTTAAAAGTTATTAAAACTTCAAATTTTTTGGCGGGTTTGATTGACACATCCTTGCACTTTCACAAATTTTAACCTTATTCTTAATCCTTAGGAAAAGTGGCAATTTTGTTGTGTATTAATGAGAAATATTAAACCTTTTATCCAGAAAAATAATTTATTCAGAGTAGAAATGTTAGACAGCAAAACTCCTTCACAAGTATCGTCATTCCGAACTAAGAGTTAGGTACAGAGTTAAGCAAATCGAGCACACTCGTGTTATGTACAGAGTTTTTGTAAACAGGGCACGAGTTCTGTTTTTGTTTACGTTTACAATTCACCGAGTGCGTTCAGTCGTCACAGTCTGCTTACCACAACTGCACGGACTGACAATATATTGTGTGTTTGTTTTGCTTTCAAACATGTCTATTCTTAATTTTCTGGATTATATTATTAATATTTTTCATTATATACAAAACGACATTGCCACTTTTCCTAAGGATTAAGAATAAAATTAATTTGTGAAAGTGCAAGGATGTGTCAATCAAACCCGCCAAAAAATTTGAAATTTTAATATCTTTTATATGAAATAAGATTTTGAATTAATTTTTGTGTAAAATATATAAGTCGTAATATTATAGAGAAAATAATAACTTCAAATCTGACACATCCTTGCACTTTCACAAATTTTAACTTTATTCTTAATCCTTCGGAAAAGTGGCAATCTTGTTGTGTATTAATGAGAAATATTAAAAACTTTAATCCAGAAAAATAATTTTATTCAGAGTATAAATGTTAGAAAGCAAAACTCCTTCACAAGTATCGTCATTCCAAGCTAAGTGTTGTGTGCAAATCGATCACACTCGTGTTATGTAAACAGTTTTTGTAAACAGGGCACAAGCTCAGTTATTCTTGGATTCACCGGGTGCGTTCAATCGTCAAAGTCTGCTCACCACAACTGCACAGACTGAAAATATATTGTGTGTTTGTTTTGGTTTCGAACATGTCTACTCTGAATTTTCTGGATTATAGTATTAATATTTTTCAATTATACACAACAAAATTGCCACTTTTCCTAAGTATTAAGAGTAAAATTAAAATTTGTGAAAGTGCAAGGATGTGTCAATCAAACCCGCCAAAAAATTTGAAATTTTAATAACTTTTAAATGAAATAAGATTTTAAATTAATTTTTGTGTGGATTGCTATTAAAATAAATAATAACAAGTCGTAATATTATAGAGAAAAAATTAACTTCAAATCTGTGTCCAAGTACCTTTAAAAAGCTATCCATGATCGAATACACTGTCCAGTGTTTGTAACTAATGAAACATGAAAATCGAATATTAACACTTTCATTAATTGCATGGAGTTTAATGAAAATATTTTTGAACATGCAGTTTAATAGAAATAAACAATACTACATGTATCAGCAAATGAAGTTTGGTGAAAATATCTTTAATGGTTTCTCTGAAACCGAGCTAAACACTAAATCAAGAAAAGTTAGGCTAATGTCACAGGAAAGGTCAATTAAAGTCATAAAATATTGACACCGTTGAATAGCCCTCACGGATCAAAATGTATGTATCAGCATATGAAGAAGTTTTATAACAATATTTTGAATACCTTCTTTGAAACTGAGCTAAACGCAAAGTGCGATAGGACAGATGGAAGGACGGAAAACATACAAGACAAATACTATGTATAATATACCCCGGTCATATTCAGATCAGGGGATAAAAGTTATTCTGGGACACGGCTTTAAAACTTTAAGGGACTCCGACCCTCAGCCAGGAAGGACAACTCTTTAATTTATGGCTGAGGGTCGGAGTCCCTTAATCTGAAGAATTTATGTTTAGATTATTTTGACAATTTCATGACTATAAGTACTTTTAAAGAGGATTGAGGCACCGTATTTGGGAAAAGCACTTTGAAAATTTTTCAAAGTACGTTAAAATTGGGACAAAACCAACGCACTTTGTGGTGGTCTGCGTTGTTAGTTTGGTGGATTTTGTTGTTTTTATGGTAGTCTGCGTTGTTAGTGTTGTAGATTTTGTTATTTTTGTAGTGGTCTGCATTGTTAGTATAAGGATTTTTTTGCTTGATTTTGTAGTGGTCTGCTTTGTTTTTGTGGTGGTCTGTAAGTGTGGTTGATTTTGTTGTTTTTGTAGTGGT